CGAATCTTCGAGCCCGCTTGGCCGTTCCTTGGGACTCCGTGCGAGCTCTTAAAAGTTGCCCTTTGAAGTCTGGTTCTCGCAGATGTACCCACCTACAATGGAAATCCGCCACGGCCGATCTATCGGGCCTAGGGAGCTTGCTCCCTCGGGCCACAATTAGAAACAAGCCTCCACATGTTGAAACTGACCGCTGAGTACGGCCAACGCGCGTTCGGCATTGCGCACATGTTGCGAATTTTCGGCTAACTAGACGGATGCTCGAACAATCTCGACAGCTCATCGGGATCTTTTTACCCAGAATAGAGAACGGCCCATAATATACACCACAATGTTCTACCGATTCCCTTTTGTTGATTCATCTTTGCACTCCACCTACCTAGCCGCCTGAATCCTAACCTAGGTGTGGGAGAACTCATCTTCACAATATCCAAGAGCTTTTCTCTTCGCATTCCAGATGTCGACATAAAAATCTCCTCCACATGTGCTGGCGCGTATAGGAGCAGCAGATATACACAGCTCACATGAACTAGACAGACTCTACCAAGCTTCTATTGGCTTCAACACATGATTATGGATTTCAGGAGACGGTCACGGAAGATTCCCTGATCCATGATCCGTTCGGCGGCGTACTGTTTCTCTGCCTCCCAGTGAGCGCAGCGGGAATTGATGGAGCCTTTCACAACGTTCCCGTTTTGGCATTAAAATCCATTTGATAAACTAGCTTAGTTTTCCGCAACGCGAGATAGCCGAATAGCTTGCCACTGCTCCTCGCGCATCACCACCATACTTTTGATGTAGGCTACCTTGCTACGCTTCGGAGGCGGCCTGAATGCTTAGCGTGTGAGATCAAGTTAATAGTTGAGTTTCCCCTTTCTCCCGCCAAAACCGCCGACTCAGAAATTCTCCTCTAGTTGGATTTCCTCAGCAGTAGTGTGTTATTAGAACCATGGGCATTTCTTGTCTTGGATGTTGAGCAAGGGATCCGCCCTTCCACAAACCCGCTAGCATTCTTTTAGCATCCTGTGGATACTTACTCTTACTCTCTATCAATGCCCTTTCTTTCCCCCTCCTGCATAATATTCTCTGATCTGTCGCAGACTTTCCAGATCCTTCTACGGTTGACGAGTCCTGGAATATAGTCCCGCATCCCTTGTACTGAACCTTTTGAACAAGATCCAGGAGTGTCTGGGAGAGTCGAGACACTGACTCCCCAGAGTCAGACGCGTCAGTATCTTGGGGCTCCAGAGCCAAGGCTTATCGGCTAGCAATACTTGCTTTGAAGGAAACCTTGACAGCACGGTAGCATTCATCGATGGCGATGTAGCTTTAATGACAAGTATGGACGAAATGGGAATACGCTCAAATATATCGAGTCGGATCTCGGGCGGGACTAGTTTTGGGTTTTACTAACTGGAGAGTAGTAGTAATGGTATGGTCTAATGTCTGTTGTTTGGCTTACGGGTTTGCCGGGCCGATCGTGGCTAACATGGCTTCCGTATGTATGTGTACATACTCTTGTCAGCTGACTTGGGAATTGAGTTTATTGTGCCTTTTCTCTAAGCAATAAATCTGTATTTTGTCCATTTTTGCTACTGTGGCTCTTCTCCAGCGTATATGCATGACATTATATTTGTGATCCTGAACCTGATTTTCTATCGGAATGAGTATCATAAATCCATTAATTCTATAAGTATGTAACCCACTAATTATCATACTCCAACCCAGACTCCTTCCGAATCGCCCCATAAATACCCGCAACATCACCCTTCACGCCCTTCTCCTTCTTCACCTCCTGCAAATACCCATCAGTGACCTCCACACTCCTCAATCTCACCCCCGCATCCTGCGCAATGCTACTCGCATGACCCAGATCCTTCCGAGCCAAGTCGACCGCAAACAGCGGCTCCTCACGCTTGTAATAATCGCCCTCAACCATCCGATCCGCGTACTTGGCAAATGGCCCACCCAGCCAAGTGTGGATCCATTTCTGGTACATGTCGGCACCGAGACCGGATTTTTCCGCCAGCACGATACCCTCTGCAAGGGTCTCGATGGTGTTGAGGATGAAAGTGTTACCTAGGATCTTGAGCTGGGAGGAACGGCCGACATCGTCGCCAGGCAAAGGGAGGGTGGCCTTGGCCGTGACGCCCTCGAAGAAAGGCTGAAGTCTGTCAATTGCTTCTTGCTTTCCGGCGGGGACGACGATCATTTGGCCTGCGTCGGCCATGTTGGGGGCACCGAAGACGGGGCAGGCGATGAAGGTGGCGCCGCGCTCGTGGAGGGTGGTGTGGATGCGGCGGGAGGTATCGGGGTGGACGGTGGAGCAGTCGACGATAATTTTGGAGGAGAGGTCCAGGGAGGAGTCGGAGACTATGGTGTTGATGATTTGGTCGAGGGCTGGGTCATCGCCGACGCAGATGAAGGCGATTGTAGCCTGTTGCACGGCTTCCGGGATGGTGGTTGCGACGGTGGCTTTGTTGGAGCCAATTGAGTCGGCGAACGCGGTGGCCCTAGATGTTGTGCGGTTGTAGAGGATTATAGGTGATGTTTGGGGGCCTTTCAGGGCGATGTTGCGACTCATACCCTGGTGGGTATGTTAGCATTTCTGAAGAGAGACAGACATTGATATATATGTGTATAGATGGGGAGGTGTGTACTTACCCGGCCGATGTTGCCCAGGCCGAGCCATGCTACTCTTTCTGAAGCCATTGTGTCAATTTGGGATCTGTTATGCGTGATCAATTGGAAGAGGAGGATTGTCGAGCATCAATGGAAGGGCCGTGGGCAGGTAATTTATAGAGTGAGAGGATCGTGGAGGAGACTGCGTCATGCGGGGCATTTCGGGGGTTCGGCGTCACGTTTCCTTCCTAAAAGCTTAGCCGGCGTGGGGACTCGGAGCTAAATTTACATTCTGAGTCTAGAGCATTTGAGGCGTTTCCTGTCGCAAAGGAATTAATTGGATACAGAAGTGCAATATGTCCGTACTCGAGGGTGCAGTGGAAGAGTACTTGGAGAATAGATTACCAATCCTCAGGCCCCGGGCCGATTCCGCTGTCTAATTGAGTCGGTCCGAGTCAGTCGGACCAAATAAATACATCTACACTCATCGTCACGCCTTCATTATACGCTTGCGCTCTTTCCTTCACCGGCGCATTTTCGTGCTGCGCGGCTCTGCTAGCAAGGAAATGATCTTCTCACATGCGATGACTCGTCCATCTTTTGGCCCCAATTTAGTTGCGATAGTTTGCGCCTGGTGTCGCATCGACTCGCTCTGACCGCTTGCTAGCACCCGAATCAATGCCTGCCCCAGTTCCGGTCCATTGACACCTGGCGCAGTCTTGCGATTTGCCCAGATCCCAATACCTAGCCATTCTGCGCGCAAGGCGAAATCGTAGGTGTCGAACCAGATGGGAAGGATGACTTGTGGCACGCCAGCCCTAAAACAAACAAGCTATCAGAAATTGGGACCGCCAGCATTCAGGAATTTACAGCCGTGTATACTAACCGTATCGCCTCCTGATAAGAATTGGACCCTCCATGGTGAACCATGCATTCTACATGGCCACTCGTGAGAATGCAAATAGGCTCCACTGCCAGCCACGGCTCAACCCGAACTTGTCCCTCTGCGATGGCAGTACGAAGATTGTCAGGTAGAGTGGTATCATCGAGCGTTGTACCGGAACTTGGCTTGATTTTCCATAAGATTTGGACTTCCGGCCTTTTATCCAGGAGCATGCGGAACCCTTCTATGAGCTCCTTCAAAACATCGATCGTATACGTCACATGTGATCCCAAGTTCACCAAGACTGTTGGTCGTCGTCCGAGCCAAGAAGCCAGTTCTGGTTCCTCCTCGGCAATTGGGCCACAGGGGCGCAATATGGGACCGCATAATGTGAAGCTGGCCGGAAAGTAGCAAGGAATTTCGGTCTCCCATCTGGTCGGGAGAAGAACTTCAGTCTTGTCCTTGTTGAGCTGTTGGGAGATTTGTGCAGAGGTTGCACTCGGCAGCCCTTGAGCAGTACGATATGCCGTCAGCTCTCGGGCTCTTGGGTTGCCCATAAGAATCGATAGCATCCGAAGAACAAGATAAACGTTCGGAAGAATCAGGTACCATGGTAAAGGATACGGGTAACCGGAACCCACGCTGACTGATCAGTCAAGATACATAGAGCAAGAGGCTAAGTACAGATGGACTAGGTCTCTCACATTGGATATTTCCACAAGCTCGCCCACCTCGGCTGTATCGTCAATTCCTTGAATGTGTTAGGAGACAGGGCCACATAACGTTGTTCTAGCATGCGGCACGCATCAACTGCCTGTAAGAAGATTGGATCAAGTACGACAATGGCTGGTTGGAGCGTGCGGATGAGGGTAGAGCAGTCTTGATATATTGCCATATACTGTGGGCCATCCCACGGGGTTGCCACTACGGGAAGGATGTGCTTGTATGTGTTCAGAGCTGCTCGGAAACCGACGTTATGAACGTGAAATGAATTGGTACATATATTGAACCAAGGATGGGCCTCTATCATGGGAGGGCCAGTCAGCGGATGGAAAGTCGCACGATTTGTCACTGATGACAGAGATGCGGCACGGATATTGAGCTTGGAGACAGCGGTCTCTAAAGGTGCGAACGAGCCGATATGGACATCATAAGAGCGAATGAGAAACTCATGGGCTACGGCTAAACTGACAGTTGCCTGGCCCAGCTCACTGAGGGTCAAAAAGAGAATGGTTGATGGTGCCATTGCGCTAGTATGTATAAGATGGAGTAAAGAAGATCAGGAATGAAAGACTGGCCAAGAGATGAAGAGAAGTGAAGCGGTTAAGATTGGTAAGGAACAATACGAAAAAGAAGCCTATCCGCCAGACATGCTTTCCTTCTACAGATGTGATGCTGGAATTTCTTTTAACACAGATGTTCAGGGAGTATTGGAACCGACATTATCTGCAGAATATGTATGAATAGTCAGCTGATCTTCTTCTGTGTAATCCAGTCCAATTTTGATGCAATCAGCCACAGATAAGGAGATGTCTTTCCTGAATTGAATGAATTTATTATTAATATTATAGGTCTTTCTATTAGGTTTATTCACATTCATGTGTATTACCCGTGGAGAATCAGACCAATGTATGTGCACACATGCCCAGTCCGCTGTTCTCCATTGATTCTCTATACATAGATAGTATGACTCTGGATACGAAGGGAGCGCCCCCTCTCCTTCACCACCCGTAATCTGCAACTGTGCATGCGTTTCACAAGGAGGACATATCACGTCCTGCATGATGACTTTTACCTCCGGAACGAAAGCTGCACTATCTTTCAGTGTCGAGTAACCGAGCGCTTGTCTCGGGTATAGGGTATATGTAACTCGCCGTTCCATGGGCAACCGACACTCAAGCTTGGGGTATTAACCAAGCAAATGGGCCGTAAGCGATTGTTGATATGGAGCCTGCTTTGGTCAGGCGATCGACCAGGCCAATTATGGGGCATCAGAAGCCCTCCGAGAAAAGACTAGTGCATGCAGCTGTTCCATCTAGTCCTTTCGTCCGCGACCACTAATGGCGGAGTTGCGGGTATTGACACGGTCAATGTCGTAAGGATTTTCCTCATACTGCGTCGCTGTACGGCCCAAGGAGTGCCCGGACTTCTTAGAAGCCCGAGAACCTCGTCGATCAAGTGCAACCTGGGATGGAATCGTGGAAAGGCTGTCGGAGTCATCACTATCACTGCTTATATAGACAGACTCGGCTTTCTCAGCCACCGTCGTTTTCTCTTGAGCTGGCTCTTGAGGCGGGGGTGCATTCTGCTTGGCGGCGAGACGCTGCATGAATGCCTCGGCCTCAGCGGCGTAAACACAACGCTTACGGATCTGAGCCCCGTAAAGATAGAAGAGAATAGGGAATGGTACACATGCCACGGCTAAGAAAGCTGGAATGGAAGAAGCCCAGTGAATGCCTAGATTGCGATACATATAGGTGGTGAATAGAGGGAAGGCGAAGCCGAATAGAGACCGAAGAGCTGAGTTAGCTGCAAGGACCGATGCTGAATAAATTGTGTAAGCGTCGATCAGATAGTTGAAGACACTGAGGAAGACCAAGACTAGTCCAAACCCAAATGGTACGCCCGCAGCAACCGGAGCCATCCAGTGGATGGTTGGATAGTTAGTCCACGCGAACCAGAAAAGGCCGATGGGCAGGGCGATTCCTCCAACAATGCTGGGAGGAAGACGGACCTCGGGTGCAAGACGACCCGTGGTTTGCTCACACAGCTTAGCATAACGAAAATTGTCTGGAAAGGTGCAGGCGACTGCGATGATCATCCCCACTAGAATGCCCATAAAAGCCAAGCCTCCAATACCCTCACTCCAGCCACGGACTTCCTGAAACACGATCGGATATGCTGCAAACAACATATACAGTGTTCCATATATGATAGCCATATAGATACAGAACAGAAGCACAATTGGTTCTTTGAAAAGCAAAAGCCATGGGCGGGAGAGGGCCGTAGTCAATGTCTTTGTCAATGTCGCTCTGCCTCGTTCGATATCCAGTTTACTGCGGTAGACTTGTCCACTCAATTCAGAAAGTTTTTCAGCTCGGCGACGCAGAAGGACTGGAGCATATGTCTCTGGCAGTAATATGCACATAGCCAGCCATACAACACCTGCTAACGCCGCTAGAAAGCCTTCCACCCAGCGCCACCCCGCGGCAGAGCCGAGGAAACCCCCAATCACCGGGCCAAACGTAGGACCGCAGAGCGGTGCTGCAGCGAAGAGACTGATCGCAATACCACGCTTTGCAGCCGGAAACATATCTGCAATCGTGCCTCCTGCATTTCCGAAAGGTGATGATCCGAAGAATCCTGCGAGAAACCGTAGAATAATAAGGGTTTGGATGTTCTGAGATCCAGCAGCCCCCGCATTGAACGCAGTGAGGAAGAAGAATGTGCTAGTGAAAATATGTCGACGACCGAAGGTCTCACTCATCGGTGCCCAGATCAATGGCCCAAAGGCAAATCCCAAGACAAAGAGAGAAATCCCGAGGATAGCAACTTCCTGTTCACAGTCAAAGTCCTTGACAATCTGGCCCATGCCGCCTGAGTATGCAGAGGAAACCAATGCAACAGTGAGGGTGACAAAGGAGACTAAGACAGTATAGGACCATTTTTGGACGTCGCTGAAGTCCATTGGGTTGCGCGGGTCATTAGGGATCCAACTGACAACGTAAGGGTCACCATCGGTTCCTGATCCAGCATAGGGATAATTAACCACTTCAGGTGTCACAACCTTTTGGTCGAGGACTAAACGCCAGTAGGGAATCTTAGAGGATAGAGGCATCTCGCCGCCCCCGGCTAAACCGGTCATGCCTGTTGTGGTACTAGATATCCTTGTCAGTCAATAATACTTATTACCCATTCCAGCCTCGGGTTATTCCTCTAAAGACATGCATATGTCATGGGATCGACATATTAGTGATGGACCCACCTGATGTTTATTTTATAGAGGAACGTTTATGAAACAGTATCACGTTGTCAGCTGTGTTATGCTTCGTGTACTCCTAAGATTTGAATTGGAAAGTGTAGATCATAAGAATCCAATGTCATGGGCGGGCACCATATAGTTAAAAGAATAAGATTAAATTTATGCAGTATGTAATACGAGAATATGAAGGCACAACATGGAGAAAAAAAAGAAAAAACGTAAGCAAAAAAATTTCTTGAACTTCTTAGGATAGCAACCGAGAGATGCCTCGGTTATATTTAGAGAAAGATTTATGGAAAGGTAATCTAATCTACCTTGCATAAAACCATGTACTAGATCGACAACGTGTCAGTCAAACGGTGCATTGCGTAGTTAGTACTAACGCCACTAGATATTCACTATCCATTAGCATTTCGCATTTTAGATATGCAGACCCCTCAACCTTGGATAGCATAGATACCCGTTTAACCATATCTTCTGTCCGTTGAAATTTTTTAGTAGAGCTATTAATAAAAAGGCGCTTGGAAACCGCCACCGTTGAACAAGACTTTCGGCCCGACGGTTCCTAGCACTACGGGCGACAAGCTCGCTTGGCCAAGTGGAGCGCCATTTAACAGGAGAAATTAAGAAGTGGCAGCGTATATTAGTAACCCATGTACACCATATTTCAATTGTTTAATACTATCCATCCATACTACACTGTACAGAGAAACACGTAGTATCAATCTTTGCATATCTCGAACCTTATCCAGATAATGCCAACGGTTGAACTTTCTCCACTAATTGCAAACCACTGTGGGGATTCACTCGACAACAATGAATGGACGAGTCGGCAAAGTCGGCATTCCGTGCCGACAAAAGCGGTGGGGATCAAATAAGCGAGATGAAAGAACAACGCCTTCGGAATAAGATGCCGAACTACAGTACTACCAGGCAACGGTGCCCATATTGCGGAATAGCATGTTTAATGTAACATTTAATAGTATGTCGCTTTGAATTACTAAGCGTCATTGCCTCAATTTTCTAATTCGTGATATTGCATAGTTGTTTTTCATGTATCCCCCCGGTTATCATTCATGAGCCTCATTGCAACAGTTTCTCAGGCAACTGTCTATGCAATGAGGTGTACCAACAACCACGGGAGCATGTACGCTACATACATAGATCGCCCTTGAGAAAAGTTCCGTTTACTGAAAATTGGTAGATCTATTGGATCGACTGCTTAGGAAACTAAATGAATTGATCGAGGTACTTGCGGAAGACGTGCAGACGTGCATGTACGTATTACTAGTAGTACATGGGTTGAGCAGCTACACGGAGTAGAAATAATCAACTTAAGTAGGCTAGAGATATGATAAAGAAAAACTCTAAACAAGACTTTTTTGAGAGACGGGCAGTTGCATATTATAAGCAAATTTGAATAGTTGTATATATATTCTACGGAAGTTATAGTAATGCTATATAGAAAGACCTAGAAATGTGTACAATCTATCCGCGGCTCCGTGTGAAGTTCACAACCTTAGGGAAACTATGCTCTAACGACCTTTCCAGTGCCATAAAGAGACGTGTAGTCCGAACATGTAATTCTAGAATTAGAAAGATTAGAATGGATACATTGGTTGTGTCGATGCACAGATAGACGTACCTTCTATAGTAAACTCATAGCTAGCAGATTGCCCCTCATCACGATAAGAAAGAACTGGTCCACCCCAAGCCCTGTTCGCATATTCGTCCATAATATCCTTCTCCTTGACCCGCACCTTAAGTCCGATGTTCTTGTTTTGACCCACCCAAACCATCTCATAGGGGGCCTCGCTGGTCGACGAACAAGCGGTATTATCGGATTCTTCCGACTCTGGTGAGGACTCAAAAGACTGACCAGAATGCTTCGCATGGTTCCTTAGCCAGTCTCTAAATAACCTAATAACACCATTTTCAACTGTCACTGCTCCCAGAGGGAAATTACTCCCCCACATCACTTCTACTACATTCACAGCTATACATAATTGGATGAAATTTTCGAATGCCTCTAGGTGCATAGGAAGTGTCACGATTGAGTTGTCCGCTTGCTCCTGGTTGACTTTCGACACAATCAGCATTGGCTTGTACAACCCATTTCCCTGTAGATGCCCTACCCGCTGATGAGAAACGCCTTGCTCCACCGATTCTTTGCATTCCTACCACACTGGGCCGAAATCTAGAATATAGGGAACCGAGTCTCCCTAGCTGTTGTGCTGTATCAATATTCTCGTACAATGAGCCCTTCCCTTCGTACTGGTTACTCAAACCATCCGTACCGAGGTATTTGCAAAAGACGTGGGGTTCGGTAGAATATGAGCTCGGATTTAAGCAGTCGAGCATAAGGTTATATTCGCTCAGTGTTACAGAGACAAGAATTCGATAGTGCAAAATCCGTAATATTAAAGCATAAAACCGGTGGGACACCGTCGTTAAGGGGAGGAGAAAATGGGCTGGCAATGGAGATAGGATCTGAACGAGCACCTGAACGTTATTTGACAAGGCTTAGCTCAGAGATAAATTGATGTCAGCCCAATCATACCTCATTTGGGAGGGAATAGAGGTGGAGCCTCGAGCGATTAGTGGCCATGCTTTTAGTGATGAAACGTGGGGAGCAGCAGTAAGGGCTGCACATCTACTACGTATTTACTGGTATCTGTTCCATTAAAGAGGTGCGGGGGCCAATCATGAATGATACAATTGGATGGATAACCTTGAAGGCTTAATGTAAAACGTTTAACATGATGTAGAAGTGAGTACCCTTGGAACTTCCCCAGATATTGCTGATAAGCCATGTCGATAAGAGTCCACCAGTTGCCCCTCGTCTCGGACCAACCAATCGGGCCCTGACGTCAGCCTGGACGCGATGCTGGGGCTTATTACTAACTAAAATACTCAAACCTTAGTCGGCCCGGTTCATTTCACTCAGGACACTCGGGCAGCCGGTGAGAAGCTCGGGCTAGCCAAGACAAAACGGCTAATATTAACCCCGCCTGGCGACAGAATATGCATGGGAAAAGAGCGCTAGAAAAGAGCACCCTACCCACTCTGCGTAGTTAAACCACCAATCTGATGTAATGCGGATAATTGATATGTGTTGGTCACTAGAGCAAATATCCCGTAGTTGGCGCTGTTCCTGCATATATGGAGGACAGCCACGCGAATTGAACGATCTACACCTGTAAGGCAAACCGGCGGCAATGGAGGAAGAATGTACTAGTAGTCAATTCAATTCATTTTCAGATAGCGATCCAAACTTTGCAGTAAATAGGGCTGAGGCCATTCTCAGTAACGTGAGTGTTATTTACCCGAACAGACGTCATGCCGAGTTTTATATTAATTCCCCGTCGGTGTGTTCGGTACCGAAAGGGTCTCAATTAATTTTCCGGAGACCCCGCGAAACAGGCCATTTGCCCCGCCGCCGTCGCTTCAGCTTTGCTGACTTTCTCTCCTACCTTTTCTTCCCCTCTTTTCTTCTCTCTTTTTCTCTTCGTAGCTTGCCTTTCATTCATCGCACAGCACGCGCGCGCTTCATAGCAATCGGCAATCATGGTCGAAAACGTTCTTGATGATATCTCCCACCGGAGGTACAACCCACTCCGCGGTTCTTCCATTTTAGTCTCTCCCCACAGAACTAAGCGTCCTTGGCAGTAAGTCTTGAGAGAAAAATTTTCTTTGATTTTTGGGTGTAACGACTGCCCTCAACAATATGAGGAATGAGCAAACTTGAAAGTTCTAGAGAGCTAAACTTCCGCCGTAAACAGAGGCGCACAAGAAAGCCCTTCCAAGACAACTCTGCCCACCTATGACCCTGCTTGCTATCTGTGCCCAGGCAACAAGCGTGCGCAAGGAGATGCGAACCCCAAGTACGAAAAGACTTTCGTTTTCGTCAACGATTACAGCGCTGTTAAGGAGGAGCAAGCACCATATAGCCCGGAAAATGCAGATGGTGCGTTCCCACATTAGCCAGAGCAAAAGACGTAGTTCTATATCACAGCGCTAACGTGTACACGATCAACTTTAGATCTGGAATCTTTCTTCTTGAAGGCAGAGCCTGTCACTGGCAAATGTTATGTGCTTACCTTCTCAGCAGCTCATAACCTCACTTTGGCAGATCTGTCTCCAGCTGAGATTGCCCCCGTCATTGACGCTTGGACCGAGATCTACAGTGCACACCTGTCACCCAAGTCACCGTTGGCTGCTGTTGCCCCTGCGACCACCCTTCCCCCCAACTCCTCCACCGCAGATCTGGCCAAGCCCAAGGAGCAATATCGGTATATGCAGATCTTTGAGAACAAGGGCGCGGCTATGGGGTGCTCGAACCCTCACCCCCATGGGCAAGTCTGGACCACCAGCTCGCTACCCGAAGAGCCAGCGATGGAGCTGGAACAACTTAAGAAATACCGCAAAGAGCATGGAGGCAAGCACATGTTGGAAGATTATGCGGCCCTCGAAAGCCAGAAGAAGGAGCGAGTGGTGTTCGAGAACGGAGCATTCCTGGTTGTCTGCCCCTGGTGGGGAGTTTGGCCATTCGAGACGATGATTGTTAGCAAACAACACAAGCGTGCGCTCGTTGACCTGAACGCCAACGAGAAGGCACAGTTGGCCGAAGCCATCGCGGAGGTCACCAGACGTTATGATAATTTGTTCGAGACGCACTTCCCATACAGCATGGGTATCCACCAGGCACCCCTCGATGGGACTGAAGAGGAGATTGAGTCTTCTTATCTGCACTTGCACTTCTACCCTCCTTTGTTGCGCAGCGCCACTGTGCGGAAGTTTTTGGTTGGGTAAGTTATAGTTCCTACGTACATTTTGTCATCAGGTGGCTGATTGATCTCTAGTTATGAAATGATGGGAGAGCCTCAGCGAGATATCACCCCCGAGCAAGCGGCGGCAAGATTAAGGAACTGCGGAGGAGAGCTGTATAGGAAGAAGTTGGACGGATAAGATATCACAGAGTAGGATAGAATAATCTCGTATCTTGAATGAGTCACGGTGCACAGAAACAATTTTTGGTTAGCCATGGGTATCTAATATTCTTTTTAATTTCCTCCTTGTAACACCAGGACTGTAGGTAGGGTTGATGCGATCGACTAGGAACTCGAAAGAAAGAAAGATGGAAGGGATACATCGAGGGATAGGTTAACGTCTCGCATGGAAAAAATTTAGGCAGAGAGATAGTTTTCCCTCTGTGTCAACATCCAAGCCAGAGTCGATGACGCAACAATAAGAGGGCTCACGAAACGCCCCTTGAGTTGGGCACTACCGAAACCCAGCCACTCGCCAACAAAGTGTACCAAGGCGATTCCGAAAGACCACATAGCAAGGTCATATGTCACAGGGGTCGTGATGTTGTAAGCTGCATACATTCGGATCACGGCGGAGAGGAAAGTCCAGGTGCCAAAGGTGCGAGAGGATAAGGGATTGGTTAGCGGACGACCATCAGCGGATCGTCCATTGTAGAGCTCCGCAGCGTAGGAGTCCGATCGGTACGCTTGAATGCTGTTTGCCGAAGAGACCACCGAGACCTAGAAAGAATCAAAACTTAATATGATGCCTGGAATTGTTGAATAGGAGACGTACTAGGAAAAGCCACTTGGGTAGAAAGCCCTCGAAAGGAGGCAAGTAAGAGAGAATAGCAGCCATTGCTTACAGAATGGTGTGCTGTGACAGGGGGAATATCAAGTAATTGACGGAGCTTGCTTTTAATTGGAGTTATCTGTGATGCAAGTAGAGCTATAGCAGTAGTACCTTGGGGGAAGCAGAGCACAAGCAATGGTTGGGGGCCGAGGCTCTTTTCTTGGCACAACAACTCTCATTAAATTCCACCAACGTTACTCCGATCTCCGCGTCCGCCGTGGAATCTCCCTCCCAAACCGATCCTTCCTTCCATTGTTGGACCTCAATTTGTCTGGGTTAAGGGGAAAAGGCGCCAATCATGGAATTCCTGTCGAAGCATACAACTTGTCTGTCTAATCTGGAGCTTAACCTTGCTCCCGGATGGCAGACTGTCAGCGCGTATTTCCTTCTTGCAGCAGGAAGCTTGTTTGTCGCCTCTAGAGCTTTGACTTTTGTCAGAGTTCTTCTCAGCCTGTTTGTTCTTCCTGGAAAGTCAGTAAGTTGCGGCTGGACTCTGAATAGAATGGCCTCAAACAACGCATTAACTTTTAATGTCCAGCTTCGCACTTTCGGCCCCAAGGGTAGCTGGGCCGTGGTCACAGGTGCCTCCGATGGTTTGGGCAAAGAATTCTCGCTCCAACTTGCTCGTGCTGGCTTCAACATCGTTCTCGTCTCCCGGACTGCCTCGAAGCTGACTACGTTGTCCGATGAGATCACCTCCAAGTACGCCTCCGTCCAGACCAAAACCCTGGCTATGGACTTTGCTCGCAACGAAGATAGCGACTATGAGAAGCTGAAGGCCCTGGTGGATGAGCTGGACGTAGCCATTCTAGTAAACAATGTTGGAAAGAGCCACGACATCCCCACTCCTTTTGCATTGACTTCTCAGGAGGAGATGACGGACATCATAACCATCAACTGCATGGGAACCCTGCGTGCTACTCAGTTGATTGTGCCGGGAATGATGCAGCGCAAACGTGGGTTGATCCTGACAATGGGATCCTTTGGTGGCCTTCTCCCAACTCCTCTTCTTGCCACCTACTCCGGTAGCAAGGCCTTCCTGCAGCAGTGGTCGACGGCTCTTGGCTCGGAACTTGAGCAGCACGGTATCACCGTTGAGCTCGTACAGGCATACCTCATCACCTCTGCTATGTCAAAGATTCGCCGGGCCAGCGCTACAATCCCGGACCCCCGGTCGTTCGTCAAGTCGGTATTGTCCAAGATTGGCCGCAATGGTGGATCTCCATTCTACGCTTACAGCTCGTCGCCCTACTGGAGCCATGGATTGATGGCTTACTTCTTAACTTGTATCGCTGGAACCATGGGGAAGTTCGTTACTTCTAAGAATCGGGGAATGCACGAGTCAATCCGGAAGCGAGCTCTGCGCAAGGCCGAGCGCGAGAAGGCGAAGAAGAGCACCTAGGTGAAGGTATATGTCGTCCTTGAATTTTGTTGCTGTAAAGGCTCGTCGCACTATATCGTGTGATTGATCCTGTAGGAAGGGCAGCATGATGACATGAATTTCAATGTTTATTAGGTTAATTCGTTGAACGAGATTGAGCGCTGAATGATCTTGGGTGAAGGGACTGTAAAAAATGTCATTTTATTATTACACTAGTAGAAGTTTAATCTACGTTAGAAACACAATACATTTCATTGGAGACGATTGCTATTGTTTGTGTCCATGACTAGGTCACAAGATGTTGGCATGTGCACGGTATAGAGCTTTCTAGCTTCCGCATTCTGCGCCCAGTGACCACTACAACCTACACGTTCTGCATGGGAATAATGCTTCCCTCTCAGTATCGTGATGTGAGATGCAAGGTGTGGAGTACTCGACAGAGGAACAACTTCCATATATACCTTTCGCAGGGTTCCAGGGCATTTCAAGATGCGACAAAAATTGCTCGCCATACAAACATAGTCCCACTGTGACTAGCACAATCTGTGTATCATTTCAATACCATGGAGATCTTCCATGTCAACCTAAATAGCTTCGACTAACGATCGCTAGGCTCCATTCGGACAAGAACACGCTTGCTCTTCGCTACTGCATCCTGTAGAAAAGAATGTGAGGATGATTCGAGGTAGTTATTTTCTCCGAACGGCGTTCTGAGCACCCTACAGAATACCTAATTCGGTTTTATGAAAGAATTTGGGTAGGGTCGCATTGGCCGAACGTAGTGATGAAAGCCTGGGGTGGCCTGAGGTAACGAGTGTCTGATCACGTTGTCTATCATACACAGAATGTCTGAGGTGCCTGAGTCCACTCAGGAATAGGCTAGATTCTCTAGGCCCTAACTTCGAAGGTTGAGACAGCCACATTCAAGGTTATTGCCGGCTACAATGACCTTTGTGAAAGCTCCTTTCATTGCGTTGCTTCCGAACCTTAATGCAAGTGTAAGTTAATACTGTCAGAATCAATAGCCAGGTAATCACTAGTGTTAACTGAGTACATTTCAGATCACAAATCCACCATCTTTGGTGTCATCATGGGTGGCGAGGAAGAGCCTAGAACCAAGGTGTTAATCGAAAGTGAATATGACCACCATGCCACGGACGGCAATTATGTGTCACAATATTAGACTATTCTAATACCTTTCGAACCCCAGGCATTGGCATTGACATTAGCATGCTAGAACTGTGGGAGAAAATCGTACGACTTTTCTAAACAAAGCCGGATGTCTTGCCCTGGGAGTAAGCCAGTGATATGGTGTAAGCTAAACTACTTTGATACAGCTACTGATAGGTAAATCCACCGACTCACCAATCAAATGCCAGCGATAGGCCCCGAAATATAGCTGGTGTGGAGCTGGTGACCGGTTACTGTATAGGGCTATAGTCTCACCTCCGGTGAATGCCTTTGTACTTCGTCGCCATGACTTTTCCCAAGCACCGAGTCTGGAGTACCACGTGTCGCAGAAACCGGAGGTTTGGGGATTTGACTCGAGATACTGGAGTGCTGGGGTCTGGAGAAACACGCGATGTCTTTGAATGATATGGAGTACAGATGCTGGGGAAGTCTGCAGCCCTAAGTGTTGGTGTATAGCTTAATCCGTTATGTTCTGGTATCACAAATATGTAGACTATTGCTTACTATTTCTTACATCTATAACATAATACATTATTAATAGCCAGAAAACAGGGCTATTTGTTTCTCAGCAGTTCCAATTTTGCCTATTATGGTGTTATAGTGCTGTCTGATATCATCCTGGTAGCATCATGGATGTCATATCCCGGGTGTACTGTGCAACAACTACAACCTGACTACGAAAATTCTTTGTGATACTCTACCACGGAAAGCAATACGCAAAGTATCTTATGACGCCACGCTGAAATATCTGCGAAACACATTTGCCATCCCGTAAAACCCGCCAATAGTAAAATTTGCGGTGCCATAAGTCGTCCCAGGAACATCGGCTGGTTTCCATGGTATTGCCGCCGAGCAAGAATGCACGTCCCGGTTCATGATCTACTGATGATAGGATCGTCAATATAGCCAAGGAACTAGGAAGAAGCAACGGACAAGCAAAGACTATCAAGAGACATGAAGGCCAGAAAAAGCTATACAAACACATGATTCAGGTTGCATGATGATGTCCGTGACTGTCACACCACCGTGAGTTGACCACGAAGAGGGCCACCTAGATGGCCGACCTACTAAACAGGTTAACCACTTCTGTTGATCTGCATGCAGACTTTTCCCGACTAGACTAAATCCATTAAGGCCTGCATCCGTACGGCATGCCGATGTGTCCCGTGTAGGGTAACGCCGTGGTTTCACCGGAGGCCGAAATGGTCAAGTCTGAGAGATTTTGCTCGGCAAGCCTCCGAGTGGGACTCACGGTCAACGCAGGAGATTTAGGAAACCTGAGCCGTTGTTTGTTGAGACTAAAGTTGCACCATTCAACATCGGCTCTACTAAAGTCTGCACTTCTCACCAATGGTTGGATGAAAATCCGACAGTGGGTCGGACGCCAAGTTGCCTTGATGCGACGATCCACCGGTCGAACGCACCAGCAGAAATTTTTCTCCTAAGTTAGGGCGAAACTATTCCGTATGTGACGTCGAGTTGACCGAATCGGCACACCGAGTCACAGACGGCCCACGATACCGATTTCTCGGACGACCGATAGCTTCGGAACGATTCCAATGACATACATACACAGCAGGAGACATACTATGGATCTTATTGTAGGTGTCGCAGTCAGATGATGTTACCTTCCGCTGAAACTTGAATTTTTAACCTTCGTAAACATGTATATGTATTTTTTTTTATCAAAAATCCAATACTAGAGGGGGGAGTTCAGAAGCTGGATAGGTTAACTTTATCGGCATCATCATTACCCTTCTCTACCCGACTCGGGATCGCCCAGAAATTTTTTTCTCTTGGAGTGGATCCATTTAGATCTGCCACGACTCTTGGTACCAGCTCGGAACCAGAAAACTTTACTCATAGTACGTACTGTGTGTCTTCAGGGGAGCTATAATTAAATCCTGGGCTTAAAAAAAAAAAAAAAAAAAAAAAAAAAGAAAAATGAGTGAGGCAGATTTGAATGGGCCCTTGCTAACATCGTTAAAACAACTCTGTTGAGAAAGGAATCAAGGGATGTAGTGGATCGTCAAATGTAAACATTTGCCCGGAAATTCTCCTACACACAGTACACAAACCAACAGAGTAATTGTGCGTGTGAATCCGGAAAAGTATGTGGGAAAGGCATTAAGCGTGTAAACAGCGTCAGGTTCAGCGTCAGGTTCAAGGTCAGTCAACTATTACTACTACTCCTACTACTACTACTACTACCGTGAGACAACACGGGAAAAAGAAAAAAAAAATACGTAGTATCTACAATGGCATAGAATAATCGAGATACTACTATAAACTTGAATTTTAGAAAATTGGGTAATAAAAAAAAATAAAGGAACCAAAAACAAACAAACTGACCATCATGAGACGCACATGACGTCCCCGTGACTACTTTGGTAGAATTCCAGACTCTCTTTCAGTTTCGCTTCTCACAATAACAGACGGCGAGCCCGGCAACGAACCTCAACCCATCCATGCCAACGATAACTTTACTCTTTTGGTCGTCTCCAGGCACATCCCCACTGTCTCCCCACTCTAAGAGTCTTTGTCGAAGCATCCAAGAACACACTCCGCCCCCCTAGCATGCGACTATCCTTCCTGGTTCGGTCCTTGAGATCTGGGCCCCCGTTTTTTTTGCCATGGTCCCTACCCCGAGAATGGGGTGCCCTCCAATCCCTGGGATGGAGGCGACGTTTTGTCTTGCCGACGTATGGAGCGTTCATGTAAAACCTTTTATTATTTAATTTTCCATTAAACGCACTAAAACAATTCCACGATGCGGTTATTAAGTTCCGATTCTGGGTTATATATCTCTGAGCTTTCCCACGTTGCCTCCCCGGTTTCCTTCTCTTTCTTTTCATCCCATCTTTCATCCCTTCATCAACCTCTCTAAGGATTCGTTCGACCACTGAGGAATCCATCCGTCACCATGGGTGTCTCTAATTTGATGGCCCGGCTCAAGCCCCAGGCCGACCATGAACACCAGGAGCACTCCGATACTCCTACCCCTGTCAGAGCCGACTCAAACTTGGAGAAGGATAATGTCATGCTTGACGACAGCCCCATCAAGTATCTGACATGGCGGTCCTTCATCCTGGGTTTGTGTGTCTCGATGGGTGGCTTTATTTTCGGTTACTCGACCGGTATGTCAACTTCCCCGTGGAGAATCTACCATACTTGCTGACTTTCACCTCAGGTCAAATTGCTGGCTTTACGACTATGGATGACTTCAAGATGCGCTTTGCGGAACAACATGCTGATGGAACATACGCTTTCAGCAACGTGCGCAATGGTTTGATTGTCGGTCTGGTAAGTCTATAGATACCACACTTGACTATGCGAATGAGGATCAAACTAACATGGCTACAGTTGTCCATTGGTACTATGATTGGCGCCCTCGTCGCTGCTCCTATCGCCGATCGCATTGGTCGCAAGTATTCTATCTCCTTCTGGTCGGTGATTCACATGGTTGGTATCATCATCCAGATCGCTACCGACGACAACTGGGTCCAAGTTGCTATGGGTCGTTGGGTGGCCGGTCTGGGTGTTGGTGCTCTGTCCAGCATCGTCCCTATGTACCAGAGTGAGTCTGCTCCTCGCCAGGTCCGTGGTGCCATGGTCAGCGCCTTCCAGCTGTTTGTTGCCTTCGGTATCTTCATCTCTTATCTTGTCAACTTTGGCACCGAATCCATCAACGGTACCGCTTCCTGGCGTATCACCATGGGTATCGGCTTCGCCTGGCCCTTGATCCTCGGTGTTGGTACTTTGTTCCTTCCCGAGTCTCCTCGTTATGCCTACCGTAACGGTCGCGTCGAAGAAGCCCGTGAAGTTATGTGCAAACTTTACGGTGTCGGCCCCAACCACCGGTGCATCGCCCAGGAAATGAAGGACATGAAGGACAAGCTCGAGGAGGAGAAGGCTGCCGGACAGGCTGGCGTTTTCGAAGTCTTCACTGGTCCCCGTATGTTCTACCGTGTCATGCTGGGAATTGCATTGCAGTCACTGCAGCAGCTCACTGGAGCCAACTTCCTCTTCTACTACGGTAACACCATCTTCACTTCTACCGGTCTGAACAACAGCTACGTCACCCAGATCATTCTGGGTGCCGTTAACTTCGGCATGACCCTTCCTGGTCTCTATGTTGTTGAGCACTTCGGTCGTCGTAACAGTCTGATGGTCGGTGCCTCCTGGATGTTCATCTGCTTCATGATCTGGGCCTCCATCGGTCACTTCGCCTTGGACTTGGAGAACCCTCCCAACACCCCTCAGGCTGGTACCGCTATGATTGTGTTCACTTGCTTCTTCATCGTCGGCTTTGCCACCACTTGGGGCCCTATTGTATGGGCTATCTGTGGTGAGATGTACCCTGCCCGCTACCGTGCTGTCTGCATTGGTCTTGCCACTGCCGCCAACTGGACCTGGAACTTTTTGATCTCTTTCTTCACTCCCTTCATCTCCAGCGCCATCGACTTTGCCTACGGTTACGTCTTCGCAGGCTGCTGCTTCGCCGCTGTGCTTGTCGTCTTCTTCTTCGTCAACGAGACCCAGGGTCGTACCCTTGAGGAAGTCGATACCATGTACGTTCTCCACGTCAAGCCCTGGAAGAGTGCCAGCTGGACGCCCCCGGAGGGCATCGTCCGCGACCTCCACGGACCCCCCGCTTCCCCCAAGCAGGAGGGCCGGGCTGAGCACAGCGAGCCCGCCACCGAGATCCGCGAGTAAATGGTATCATGTCTGATGAACCAGCTACGGCCGTCACTTATGCATTGATACAACGTTTTTGTGTTTTTGGTCGTCCTCTGTAACCTTTTTTAATGTTGTGGCGCAACTCTTCTCCTTCTTTTGTTTGCTCTGAATATACCGATGTGAATGCATGCATGCATGAGTACATATGTTGAGGGGCCATGAATATGGCATGACTTTTGGAACTAAGGAACCTACTGGCGTTTTGGGTGGATAAAACAGCAAAGCAAAACCTACGAGCTTATGCAGTTTAAGAGAGAAATAAAAATAATATACTCTATGAAAAGTAACTCCTTATCTCATGTAAAAGACTATTATTCATCCCATCCTATGATAGGGGTATACCACTCGAAATGAAATCGTTACGAATGTATGGCAATATAGGGGCCAGTAGTAACAAGACAAGTTATCTGTGGTGAAACAGTTATGTCTCTGGGAGTACTAATGCTAAATAGAAATGCATTGAGCCTCTAGTAAGTGATACACCGCGAACAAAAGACTAAATGAGAGTATATCAAGGCAAAATGATCAATTTTTATTTCTATCTTCGTCTTCGCGTTCATCAAAATATTCAAATCAATCAAGCCGATAAATGCTGATTCGGTTGGGTCGGAACAACCCCAGGTATTTACGCAGCAGTATAATTCATCCAGAGACCGTTGACTGTAACAAACAATCAAAACATGAAGAAACATAACCCCCGACGCCCTGTTTTTTGACACCCAGTTCATGACATGTAGAAGATGAGATATATTAAGGGGTGGTGACATTGTCTCATCGTGCACTCGGCACTTGAAGACAAAGCCTTTACCGACGTTGAGTCTTGCCGATGGTACGCTTGCCGGTGAACTAGAGGCAAAGTTAGTGAATGAGCGACAGGGGTAAAAAGGGTGGCGGTGATGACATACCAAGTGCTTGGGGAGAGATGCAGTAGTGTGGCGATCGGCTTCTCCTGCTCTTGCCATGCGGTTCATCTTCTTCTGGCCCAGCTTCTTCAGACGGTCGGCCTTGCTGCGAGCCGTGGTATCGGTAACACCGTCCAGGAGACGATTGGTTGCTGCCTGGCTACGGGCACGACCCTTGGCCTTGGCAATGGCTTGGCGAGGATCGGACATGTCGACATCCATAGCATCGTCGCCATCGGCATCGCGAGTAGTGGTACGTCCACGGGTTTGGCTCTTGGAGCGGGCACGGGCGGAAGCAGCATCGACATCGTAGCCGGCCTCTTCGAGAGCATCCTCCATCTGGGACAGCGACTTAGCCTTGGCGCTGCGAGGGATTTGTGCGCGGTTCTTGAGAGATTTGCGCATCTTGGCATCGTTGCGCATCAAAGCCCGCTTCTCGCGAATCAGGTCTGCCTTCATGCGGGTGTCGGCATCCTCAGCATCTTCCACGCTCTCATCCGAATCGTAGTAACCGTCGGCTTCCAGCTTCTCTTCCTCCTCCTCCAGGGCGGCCAATTTCTGCTCAATATCGGGATCCACGAAGTCGTAGATGTTCTTGCCGTTCCAGACTTCGGGAATCTTATCATGCTTCCATTCGTCGTTGGCCAAGTCGTAGGTCTTCTTGAGGTCAACATTGTAGACACCAGCACCACCGTTCTCCTCCTCAATATCCCTCTCCAACTTCTTCCGGTTAGGGTCATTCTTGTCGTATTTCTGGAGGGTCTTAACGGCCTCAGGGATGAAGGTTTCACGTTGGACACCACCCATGGGCTGTGCAACATGGATACGGGCCAGGACATCACCCAGACGTCCACCCGGGGTACCAGAACTGTTTGTTCCAGACTTGAGTTTCTGCGCCACTCTCTCGGCCAGTAGCTTGTCGCAAGCGGCGTTCTTCACGTTAGTTACACCCTCAGTAGTGGTGCAAGACAACTGCAACATTTCCACATCTCCAGACTTGAGGATCGATTGAAGCTCTTCCTGGTATTCGGGTTCCAAATCCTCGGGGCGTCTGACATCAATCTTGTTGACGACAAGGAAGACGATCTTGTTGGCAAATAACGGGCGGATACTGTGGAACAGCTTGATTTGGTCGGCGACAGAGTAGCCACACTGTTCAGAGAAATCCATAAAGTACATGACCGCGGAGCGAAGATGGGCAATGGCGGTAATGGATTGCATTTCAATGGTGTTCATCTCCTCCAGAGGGTGGTCCAGAATTCCCGGGGTATCAATGGCTTGAAATCGCAAGTACTTGTAGTCGAAATGACCAACGAACAAACTCTTGGTTGTGAATGCATATGGCTGAACGTCAACATCGGCCTTGGTGATGCTGCGCAAAAAGCTGGATTTTCCGACGTTGGGGTACCCGCAAATCAGGAGAGTACGGGTGTTAGGATCGATGGATGGCAAACGGCCCAAATGTTGACGGACTTGCTCGAGGTAGACCAGAGGGTCTTTGAGACGTCTGCAAATGGTGGCCATGCGACCGAGGGCGGCGCGCTTCAGCTGCTTACACTGGAACAGAGACTGGGCATATTTGATGAGACGGACATAATCGCGGGAAACAGTCTCAATGAGATGTTTGGCGGTAGAAACTTGACCCAGAGCGATTCTAAAATGGTCGGCATCGTAAAGTGTATTCATCAAGTCCTTGTCTAGTAACTGTTAGACAATCGCACCAGGAGAATATTCGAAGCCCAAAAACCTACGGAAAGGATGAATGTCCTGGAGCCGGGGGAATCCATCTAGAATAGCCTGGAATTTTTCGCAGAATGTCTCTTGGGTATATTTGACCTTTCGGGTATAAAAGCCTAAGCAGCGGGGGCAAAATTCGTATCAGCAAAATCCGAGTTTTATCTTATTATTTCGGATCACAATCACTTTGTTCCGAAATTGACGATCGGGGATTGCTAAATACCTCTGATACGGCTGATCTTGAAACCAGCACGAATCTGAGTCGGCAGCTGTCTCTGCGTACGGCTGAGAACGACATCCAAAAATTCCTGGCTCGTGGGCACAGGAGCGATCTGAAAAAAAAAGGTACTCTATCAGTATGACAGTTCTGGAGAATGACGGCAGCATTTCTGGCGCAACCAAAATAACTCACATCCTTCCAAGTGGTCTTCATGATGGGCAACCTGAGAAGTACCAAATATGACTCTCAAGAATATCCCAGAGGTGATGATAAGATTTTGAAGTCTCCGAGTCGAAGCACTTCCTGAACAAAGAAGAAAAAAAAATATTCCGGGCGGTCGGCGCAAAAGTTTTGACGGGCGGTGAGAGTCGCAATGTGGGGAACGTTTTTCCCTTCTGGTAGCCGAGAGAAAAAGAGACCCGTCTAGATAACTACTATAGTAACCAGTATTAATGTCGTTTCTTTCTACTCATTTTGATTGTTGACTGTTTTCCCTCTTGAATTGCTCTCTATCATGATCATGTACATTGAACTACCGCGGGACTATGATACACAAATATTCCTGCCCTGACCTGAAACTAGCCGCCTATTCATGGTCGTCATCAGCATGGGGTATCTGTCCCAGAACCATCGTAGCCCAGACAAACTCCGTTGCTTTTCTCTTGAACCCATCATGTAAAAAGACCAAACCCAGTGTTTCAACATAACATGCGTCAAATGTCGCGTGGGAATTGTGAACAAAAACAACAAAGGGGAAACTAAAGAAAAGTGGAAAAGGAAGATATAATCGAAGGGAACAAGAGCAAAAATGATCAGGTAAGAGGAAGACATGTCAACTAGGCATAGCACGATTCGCTGTCATCCTAACCGTCCATCGTGATGATAATTTACTCTCCGATGAACTCCAACACCTAGAGTTGGTCAGTTACAGGCTGCGTGTAAGAGTACGTTTCAGAAAGGCTTCACTCACCAGATTTGTCCAGCCACCGCCGCCAAACTGACACTTGCTAGGACCACGGTTCTCGAATCCAAAAGATTCGTAGAATGGCACAAGATAATCATGGGCTATGATCGAAATGCGCTCGGCGATCTGTGCTTCCCTGATCCTGTGGATGTAGGACTTCAACAACGTGCTGGCAACCTGCTTGCCTTGATGCTCCGGCAAAACAGCCAAGGAATGGATCGCAATCGTGCCACCATATTCGTCATGGCCGACGGTCTCTCCGTTCTCCACAGTCATGCGCTCGGTTTGCCATTTCGCGGGGAGCTCCATAGCCTTGTCGGTCACAAACGGAGTCGAAATGCGAGTCGCAACGATGTGTCCAACCAAGGTCGGGCGAGGCTTCGGTTGGTCCTCTCCTAAGACAGGGAGTGTAAAGAGGCCCAAGCAAAGTTCGGGGCACCGGTTCAGGCGATATACAAACTTTGACGCCGAGTCAGCCAGGCGACAAATTGTAAAGTTGGAGTAGAATATATGTCCTTACCTTCTCTCGGGAACAGCGCTCTTGTTCGGGAAACGCGCTCTCCACGTTGACACAGTCATCCACATTCGACACAGTCAAGACCTGTACAAAAGGATGCAACTCGTCCAACTTTGTGCGCTGATGCACAGGCGGGCGACGGAACCAGTAAGGAAATTCGTTAATATCGTCATGGTCAACTGCAACGTAGTCTTCGTCGACCTCTTCTTCGTCGTCATCATCATCCATCTCCTCCATGGGGATCCCGTTGGCCATTGAAAAATCTCCACGGGCGCTCAGACGTGAGAGGTCATCCCCGGTCGTAGGCAAGGAGAACCCGTCCGCGTTTGATAATGGCTTGAACCCATTGATGGGCTGGTCTGCAGCAGACTTATCAGCGGTATAATCGGACATTATCTATCGATCTGAGGATTCGATTTTCAACAGATCGCAAGCCGACGTTCCTTAAATTTGCAGGGTAGATAGGGAGAAAATTTGTAAAATGTAAAAGCAGCAAGCGGTACACAAAGAGAGAAAGGAGACAAAGTCCAAGCGGACAGGGATTGCTGATGGCGCAGGATTGTGGAAAGGATTGGCTGAAGGGGACCCTAGGAGGGATGAAAAAGAGTCGAATCGAGGGGCGTGAATCCTCGGAAAATGGTGGGGATCAAAAAATTAGCTCTGATGCGGACGGGCGATAAGAACTTGAGTCGGGTTGCAGTTCCAGAAGCTTAGGGCCGGGTCGTAAGCCAAAAGACGCAAGCCACCAGTCAAGCCTGAATGAAGGGAGGTTGTTAAGTTAGGAACTGGAAAGTGCAGTTTACCAACCAGATCTTTTAAAACGCACGTTAAGGGAATGTGAGTGGATTATTGTCTGCTAAGGCTGGATACAGTGAGGCGTTTGATTGCCACTCACACTTGAGGCAAATGAAAGATATTGTGGAAGTCTGACCCGTGCACAGTATGATTGGCTGCCTTTTTCTTTACCCACGGAACAAAAGGACTACAAAAAAGAGATCAGAAAGAGAGAGAGAGAGAGAGGAAAGTAGAGAGAGAAAAGCAATAAAGGATCGAGGAATATGGATGTTCCTGAAGGATCTAATCCACTATCCAATGATTCTTAGGTACTAGAAGTATTGGTCGATCGATCCGCCTGCAGATAGTCAGAAACTTCAGGGACTAAAAGTCTTACTACCGAGATTAATTTTATTTGGTTCCCAGGATTTTAATTGATTGCTTTCTATCCGGTGAAGTAAGATTGCCGAACCCAAGCGCGGGGTATTATTGACTGATACTGATAATGCAAGTCATGTTCGTATGTAATTTATCTAGGTGGCCTACGCGTAACATTGACGGGTGGGTAGGCTGGGGACGGGGAGATATGGAGAAATTTGACGGTTTCTGCCCCGTAACCGGATGGGTCCCGTACGGAGCACGAGTTTTACTAGTCGGTACTACGACGACTACGTAGTAGGAGTAAATACTTCTGGTAATTGGTAAGGTACGAGAATGAGATATGTTGCCAGGTGCCAGTTAAAGCATGAAATTACTTGTCACACTACTAGTACTGCAGTGGTATTGCTACTACTTCAAACCGGGACATGGAACACGTGCTGGACGTCTCAGGGCAGCAAGGATCCTGTAAGGGTTTAGTTTTCTGACAAGATAAACCTACTGTCTTCTCCTCAGGAATCAACTCACACTTACACAAGCTGCGTAAATGTTTACCACCAATTGGGTGATATATTGATAACATACCTCATGATAGAGAATAAACTGCCATACCGGAGATTCGTCATGGTCTATCCTTTACCCCAGAACATAAGTGTTCGTTGATTGGTTTCTCCGCACTTGAATACATGCAGTGGTGGGTGTGCCCGAGCCTTACTTCTACAATAGAACATGTAAGGGGTCCTTGAGAACGGAACAAACCAGGAAAGAAAAGCACGCACTGGAGCACTGTCGATCTCACCTTAAGCGATTTCCTTGCTACCATGGCAGAAGCGTTTCCTGTCAACAATGGCATGACTTCATTCTGGCGCACCGAGCCTCATTGTCTCGATAGTCATCGCTCAACCGAGGTGCTGCCTGATGCAAGTGGTATTGTCATCGTTGGGGCAGGATATGCAGGCGTATCAGCTGCATACCACTGTATGCGTCTTAGTCAAGCCTCGTCAGCTGATAAGCCTTCTATAATAATACTGGAAGCCCGTCAGGCTTGCTCGGGGGCTACGAGTCGCAACGGCAAGTCACAACGAAATCTAGGCAACTCATGGAGTGCTGATTCTGACATCTGATCCCCTTAGGTGGCCATCTGAAACCTGACGTATATTACCAAATCAGTGCCCTGGCAGATAAATAAGGAGTTGATGCAGCAGAAGAAGTAGCCGCTTTCGAGTTAGCGCATATGGTAGCGGTTTAGTCTTGTGTAGAAGAGGAAAAGATTAATTGTGACCTAGACTTCGGCGAGGTCATTGATGTGCAGCTTGACGATAATCATTGCGCCAAACTCAAGACGGGATACGGATCTCTTCTTTCCCAGGGAGCCCTTACAGCAAAGGAGGCCCATTTCACTCCGAAAGAGATTGCAGAATTTGTGAGTACCACTCCAGTCACTGCAGATACCCCTGCATATTCATCCCCTGCGTAGGTGTCTGGGGTGAAAGGCGCCCAGGGCTGCTTCCGCTGTCGCACAAGGCGACTTTGGCCATATAAGTTTATCACTCAACTCTTGGAGCGAACTGTCTCGGCTGGCATCAACCTCCAAACGCAAACACCCGTGCTCCGCATCTCCGAAACACCTGATATTGATGGACGTTGGACTGTCGTGACTAGTCGAGGTTCAATTCGCGCAGAATGGGTTGTTTTCGCCAGTAATGCTTATACGTCTGCCATCGCACCCGAGTACAAAGACAAGATTGTCCCTGTACGAGGGGTCTGTAGTCGGATTGTGGTGCCCAATCCACCGAAAAACCCGCTGAATTGCTCTTACACATTACGTTTCAATGCCTGGATTATGACTACCTGATTCCCCGATCGGATGGCAGTATTGTCGTTGGCGGGGGAAAGTCCTCATTTTTCCATGACTCCAGCGAGTGGTACGACAATACAGATGACAGCAAATTGATAGAGTCTGCAGTGCGGTACTTTGACAATTACATGCAACGGCACTTCCACGGCTGGGAGGACATACAGGGGCATATACCGACCGAGTTTGGACGGGAAGTGCGTCTCTTCGTATTATAGGTCTTTCGTGACTTGATTGAAAAGCTGGTGCTGACTTTTTGCACATAGTAATGGGTTATAGCACCGGCTCCTTGCCGCATATTGGCCCAACAAACCTTGCCAGTTGGTGATTGCTGGCTTTAACGGCCATGGAATGCCGCAGGTCTTCCTCTCAGCACAGGCGATTGCGCAGATGATAATCCGCGGAGCTAGGTATGAGGAGACGAAATTACCACGATTGTTCATGATCACCCCAGAACGGCTGAGCAGCCAAGAGAACCACCTCCTGACACATTCTAAGACTTTGTGAATAAGAAGCAATCGATTACGTACACGAATGGGTCCTAGTTTGAGTCAACATACTCCAGACTTATAGCACGTCTACTCTGTATTCTGCAGTGCCGGGTCTACACTTATTAATGTCACAGTCTCTAGCAGCGCTGCACTCTGTTGATCAAACCGAGGGGTCGTAATCAATAATGGGAGTTCCAAGTATAGACACTACTTCCGAGTACAGTGCATGGATTCGTGTGCTGCAAGGTGATCACGGTCATGAACCTTAACTGTGGAGATTTCCCTCTTTTTTTTTTTCTTTTTATCAATCTCCGAACAACGGGCGTTATCGGAGCCAATCAGAAGCCGAGAACGGAATGCGTCATTATCCGCATCGACTCATTTTTGTTTCCTCCGAATGTCCAGCGCCCCCTCACTCCTCTCTGCTGCTTTCCTTCTGTACTGTTTTTCTTCTTCAGGCTTCTTCCTTTGCCAACTCCTATGTATTCATTCCTGGAATCAGTTTCTTTCACCATCGACGGAAATGAAACATGAGTTCTAGGGCGCTGACTTGGCCGCGGACTGCGAAGTCCTCTCTACTAAAGGTGAGCATCAAACCCTCTCTCTTTGCCATTGCTCTCCGATTGACCTTGCCGTCCTGTAGCAGCAACAAACCTCCTCCTTTGTCGGCCAGCCCACATTGGGAACTCCCAATTGCCGGTCCTTCTCTTCCACCGCCGATCGGCCGATCAACCAAAGTGCCGAGTTTTCGTCCAGCAGCAAAAGCTATGATCGACTAGGTCATCGGGCCAAGGAAAAATTATTGGATCGTGTACGATGGTCGCCCAGTACCAATAAATACAGGACGTATCCGCTGACTACTTCAATGGATTTTCCGGCTATAGGAATTTTTCCTTAGTCTGCTGAACTCCGCGTCTACGAAACGAGAGGCCAAATCGTATCTGGCTCGCCTGAAAGCACAGCACCCTCCGAAAGCGGAAACAAAACCAACCACCGGACATCCGAAAGAAACGGTAACACAATCATTACCGTCGGGTGTTAACCTGGGTTCATTCTATGGAGCCTCGCGGTCTGTGTATGATAGTCCGGTCTTCAGGCATGATTCAACGCCCCTCCCGCCACCGTTAGAATTGCCAGAGGGAAGACTCCATCTAGCCCTGATTAAACTCAGGACACCGCAGCTACTTGATGACACTATTATCAATGGAGTAGCCAAGACCCTGTCCCAGCTGAGCCGTCTAGGGATGGCTTGCTGTGTTGTGGTTGACCCTGGAACTGCGGACAATGCCAACGTCTTACGCAGGGTTGCTGCAGAACAAGCCGAACGTATTTCAATTGCAGTAGATGCACAACCAGACTCAAAGTCTGCCCATCTCGACTCGGTCTTGTCACTGTCCCCGATGTTTCCGGAACTTCCCGCCGTCCTATCCAGAAAGGCGCTCCTTAATCCGCTCCGCGACGGCCAAATTGTGGTTCTTGCCCCTATTGCCTACACGGAAGATGTTCCTAAGGCAGTTACCATATCTGCAAATGATGCCATTCTGGCCCTCACGAAAGAGCTTGCCGGTCTGGCAATGCGTCCCGACCCTGATGAAGACCCTTGGCTCACAGCGCAAAAAATCGCTAAGCTGCAAAAAGAGGTCTCATTGGATCGAGTAATTCTCCTGGATCCTCTCGGAGGGATCCCTTCCTTCCGAGGACCGCAAACATCGCACGTTTTCATCAATATGGAGCAGGAATTTGATGATATCAAGAATGAGTTGCTTCACGTACAGTCCAGTGAAGGTTGTACAGCAACCACACCACAACGGAAAGATACCTTCGTTCAGGACCCTTTGGAGAGGCACCTGGACAACCTACAGTTGTCGCAAAATGTGCTTGCTATGCTCCCATCGGCGTCCTCAGGGATTATTACCTCACCGCTGGAAGTTTCGAACTCAGCTAGGACACCCCAGGCTAACCCTTCATATGTCTCTGCTGTGGGAACTCGACGGCAGCGAAACCCACTCATTCACAATCTACTCACAGACAAACCGCTGCTTTCCTCTTCACTGCCGGTGAGCCGACGAGAGGCGATGAACCGTAGACGAGGCTCCATCAATTCCCCAAGTTCTCACACAACTTTTGTCAAGCGAGGCATGCCTCTCACGATGATTCCCAATCCACGAGTTGAGGTGTGGACGGCGCAGAATCGGCCACGGCTAACGCTGGATGATCCAAGCATCGACCTCCCGCGATTAGTTCATTTGATCGAAGACTCCTTCAACCGTAAACTGGACGTCCAAGATTATCTTAACCGGGTTAACGATCGCTTGGCCGGACTGATCATTGCTGGAGAGTACGAAGGTGGTGCTATCCTCACGTGGGAGCTGCCGCCGGGGGTGGAAGACGATGGTAGCCCGGCCAGTGAAGCTCGAATGGTCCCATACCTGGACAAATTTGCCGTCTTAAAACGCAGCCAAGGCGCCGGCGGTGTGGCCGATATTGTGTTCAATGCTATGGTTCGCTCATGTTTCCCCAACGGGGTGTGCTGGCGCAGTCGCAAGGACAACCCGGTAAATAAGTGGTACTTCGAGCGCTCTACGGGGACGTGGAAGCTATCTGACACTAATTGGACTATGTTCTGGACGACTCCAGGATTAACGGAGAATTCGCAAAGGTTTTGTGATTACGAGCAAGTGTGTCGGAGCATTCAGCCGAGCTGGGCTGACGATACGGGTGTTGTTGATTGATGGACATACAGACTTTTTGGCCTTTCTTTTTGCCTGGAACTAGTACATAATCTGCACCGAGTGCAGCAGGGGTTCGGGCATGAATGTATATAGATTGACCTCTTGAAAATATCCCCAATAGATATTTAACATGGGACCCTCACCGCCTTCGGCCTGGAGACCGAACTGCCGCCGCGATTCTCTCGCAATGCAGATCCCTGGATCTCTCCTGAAGTAGACATTGACTATGCATCTTAGGATGACTGGAAGTCAATGACATGATGCCCATTTGCATCGAGTGCTCGTACCCCGTCTCGCATCTGTACAGCACTTACAGTCGTGCCGACGATCGCTCGTTAGGCAAAGGCGTGCGCTTGACACAATGTCCACGCTGCCAGCGATTTGCGGATAAGTATGTTGAATATGACTTTGTCGTGATCTTCATTGATCTCGTTTTGATCAAGCCGCAGGTATGCATACTGAAGTGATGGCTTGTCCGGAATACTAGCATACTGACCGCGGAAGGTCTATCGCCATCTCCTCTTTAATAGGCTTGGAGGGGACAACAACCAATTCGACGTACGTCTATTTAGCCCTCATTCACGCTCTCTTCTAGTCTATTGCTTCCGTAGAATTGGGGTTTATTCAACTGACTAAACTATTTGTTTGCTAGCGATCTATAATTCGTCTAGGAGTCCTTCTACTTTTGTTTGACGTCTACCTGACATGGGCACGCATTGAGAAGTCTCCCTCGTTGGCTACTACTTTCCTCTCTCGCGCACCGATCATTGTCCAGTACTTTTTCTTTTTGGGTCTGAATGCGCTTGCGACTCTTGCCCATCACCTCACCATCCGTGCCCTAGCATCAGTCCTTGCCCCAGCACCTCGAGGCTTGAAGCAAAATGGCAACAACCCGACGACTACCACGACAGAACGCCCTCTCTCCACCCCCTCGACACCGGTACATACCTCTCCTCCATCTCAAATCACGAATACGCAATCGCAACTATCCCCCACATCAGCATCCATGTTGAGCTCACCTAGGCTCAGTCGGCAAGGCTCTTATGACACTCCAGCAGCGGGCGGAGGATTCTCCACCGCAAACAGTACGGGAAATGATAATCACGCCGTCCTTCCAGCGTCTCAGGGTTCATTCCCGCCACCTCCTTTGCGTCGCGCCTCTACTGCTCCAATCCAGAGCATTCAGCCACTACCTCCTCCATCTCCCGCCAGCCCTACCGCGATCAGCACGGCACTTCTCGTGAGCAGTTGTGCTAAACTGTTCCCGATACTGCTTGTAATCTGGGGCCCCGACGGCAGCGGCATTGCATCTCAGACACCTGTTGACAGCAGTGTAGGGACAAGTCAAGTGGCTCCGGGCAATGTCTCACAACACGCGCTGAACGGTATTGCCTCCGCGGCAACCACCACAACAGGCCCGTCGGGAATAGCGGGGTCTCCATCGCCAGCCTCGTCAACACTTCTGGAAAGCTTGATCCAGATGCTGCCTCAGTCGGTGCCGACAAGTTACCTAGCAAACTTTGTTGAGCTGACAGGCTCACTTTTCTCGCTGGGGGCAGCCGATACGCATTTGGTGCTGTTGAGTAACATCGAAGCGCTATATGTCCTCTTAGGATGCGGGTACCTCCGCGCTGTAACACTAGCAGTTGCCGGACTAATGGCTCGATGGACAGTACAGAGAATCATCCTAGGAGCAATCGGAGTTAGCTAACATATGACGGAAATACATACTAGATCTCAATAATGAAAAAATGAAACTCATCCTGTTCATGAGAATCTATGAATAACCGCTGAGAAAACATCAATGCAGCAACATGAAAAGTAAAAGTAGTACCAAGCATACACAAGATAACTATACAAAACACCCATAAACCACCTCAATCGTCCACCCTCCAAACCCAACCTAACATATCCTAGCCCATCAATCAAGAACCCAATAAGGGAAAATCACTGCGGTACCCGATCAGGTCTAATATCCGCCCTCTTCGGCGAAATAAGCGGATGCCACTGCGCCAGAAACGTAATCGCTGCACATATCATAAATCAGCACATTGGTTCTCGTTCCCCTCAACCCATTACCCCCCCCAATACCCAAAGCCAGCATAAAGGGAACAGGAAAAGAAAGGGAGAAATAAACATACCCCACATCAAATAGCACGACACAAACGAGAGAATAAGCGTACTCCGCCAAAGCCTAAGATACTCGTTAGACACAAACCCAGATTCGAAGAGGAAATCAAAGGAGGGATGCATACGTTTGGTTCTCGCCCTTAGGACTGAATATCCAAACCACGACGGACGCGACGGCGATGACGATCAGACCGATGATTAGACTCCACCTATTTTCGTTCCGTTAATCTTTCCTTCTTCTTAAGTCTTTTAAAAGAATAGATGAGGAGATGATAAGGAGTAGTCAGACGTACCCGTTCGCCATTTTGATATCTTGGTTATTCTGCTTCGAATGGCTAGTGATTCGGTGAATTATACGTAGAGTATGAGGGCACGGTCAATGCACTCTGACACAGGGACCAGCCGGTGTCTTCTTCTTCCCTTTTACTTTTTCTTTTCTTTTCTTTTTTTGGTTTGAGGTTAATCGGTGATTGGATTGGTAATTCCGATACTGTGGAAGCGGGTATGCTGGCTTCGTTCGGTGGGTTGTATCTGTTCGCAGTTCGAGGTATCTCCTGGTGTTCTCTCCACCAGTGTGGGAATCGGCGTTGCCTTCGAGGAGGGAGAATGGGCCGCTTAACTCGTAAGGGGCGATGGATTTGGCGTGGACCGAGACGAGCAATAACGCTGGACGTTGACTTGGCGGTGGAAGGATTGTTGTTGTTAAGGTGGACTCTCCGCGGGATAAAGGTATGGGATGTTGGAGCTCTAGGCTGGGGGAGCTTGTAGGTGGTGTTGGCGCCTGAGGCAGAACTTCTGGGTGGTAGGCGGTGATGAGTTGCAGAATGGGGTTGTCAAGTACTCCGTAGGGCTTGTTTCTGGTGAGAGATTGCATGGGGTAGGATATTTGATTTAGTATGTGAATATTCATGCTGTCTATTGGGTTCGTTTTTGTTTTACGTCATGCTGTTGAAGTGTAGAGATGATGCGTGTTCGCCCACGATAAGACAGCTCTCAGGCTTAAAAGGCTTGCTTTACAGTCTACTAACCAAATTTTACGCATCAATAGAGCCACAAATGACCCTACATATCCATAAATTGGGGGATATAAAACATCTTCATAGTGCATCAAGGGGTAGTTCACAACGTAATCCGACGGTTCCATAACAGCTGGCCAAAAGAAGAACGTAACGAAGGAGTGAAAGAAGAAATAGATTCAAGAGGGTGTTCTAAGCTCCCTCACGGCTCTTGCGGTAGCTAGCCTGTAAGACAAGTCAATTATAAACATCTTGAGAACGACGCAAAGGACCATACCTCTTGTTCAACCTGCAAACCATCGACCACAGGAGCCAGCTCGCTGAGGATTTCATAAGCCCGCTTGTGGAACTCAAGTTGAGCGGCGATCAAGTCGGCCAGGTTCCTCAAAGGCTCAGGAGTGTCCAGAACCTTGTAGTCAGTTAGTAACACCTCTCCGCAGCACCTACAGGATCTGCAACTTACATTCTTCATGACGCTTACAGCCTCCTCGGTCTGGCTGACGAACTCATCCTCGGCCTGTTCGATCTCCTGACGGGCCTCCTCACTCAGGTTGTCCAGATCACCCCTAGCAGCCGCCTTCTTGCTAGCCTTGACTGAGTCCAGCATAAGACGGGCGTTCTCGACGTTTCTGCGCGCCTTGGCCGCAAACATCAGGTTTGTGTTGAGGGTCGTGTTCCACCCAGCGAGAAAGCGCGACTGGATTTGTCCATCCTGCGACAGACGGGCCTCACCCACTTTCTCCGAAGCCAACGCATACTTCTCCAGGGCAGTGGCCAGAGGGTCCTCGCCGGTAGAACTCTGCGCCAGAGTCTGCGATCCGGACAGAGAGGCGCGGGCAATGGCATGGTTGAACGTCTTAGGCTGGGGCTTGGCCGAGGGAGGGGCAGTCAGGGCAGCCTGGGCCTCCGCAGGGGACGAAGCTTGAGAGAGAAGTTGAACCTTTTCACCGATGGTCCGGCCTAGGTCGTTGAATGACTCGCGGATGTTGGGTGGGTAGTCGTAGGCCTCGTTAGAGTACTGAGAACTGTACGCTACTGGTCAGCGCTATTTTCATGTGAACGCAGCAGGCCCTTTCCAGTGCCGTTTAAGGACTTGACACTTACGTCACCTGAAGGAGCTTCTGGTGGACCAACTTAAGAGCGTCCACGCGCTTCTCCAGCTCAAGGTATTCATCTGGAAGTTGAGTCTTGTCTTCGGCTTGACCCAACTGCTCTTTGATCATTTGCTGCGTGCGCGCAGCGAAAGGCGAAAAGCTCGCACTACCCGCAAAAGCAATATAAGATTAGAAACATGTCAGTAGAGGGCTTTGGATGTTGAGGGCTATTACTGGTAAAAGCGACAATGGAGGGGTGTGGGATAATAGCAGCCTCGGAAGTCATTTCATCTCACCTAAGGTTCTTTCCGAACGCCTGCACTTTGTCCATACTGTAAGTCAAGACAATCCGACTGAAAAATGATAATCGGGAAGAAAGATGACTTCAAGATGCGCAAATTTGTCCTTAGGCAGACCACGAGGATTTGTTTGGTTTATGAGTGCTGGCAGATCACGCAGTCGAGGCCCCAGGCATGCTCACCGCCTTTAATGAAGTTCAACTGCACCGCCACGTTTCACAATAAATTACATTCAATTAACTATAGTAACTAATGTATAAATGTATGTATGCCATTCTGGTTGCCGTCCCTGCATCCTTCACAACCCGAAATAAAAAAAAAAAAAAAAAAAAAAAAAAAAAAAAAAAAAAAAAAAAAAAAAAAAACAGAAAAACACAATGACAATAGCACAAAGAAAAAAAAAATAAATAAATAAAAAAGAAAAGGAGAGAAAGTAAAGAAAAAAATATGCACATGCAGACATTGGTCATTATTATCATCAGAGTAATGTCAAAAGCCGAAAACCCCTAGAACCCCAGTCGAACACCCTGAAGTCACAGCCAACTTGGTGTTGTATCATACAGAGGAATCATTGCTGAACGTCGAGATCAATGAATCGTAACGCATGATATAAATCGGTAAGTTGTAACGAATAACCGTGTAAGAAAGTCTCGAAGCGACCACGCTTAGGTAAGGGTTGCCATCATCGCACGGAGGATCCGAGGGTTGGGACCTAGGGTCGGACGACTCAGAATTCAACTCATCGCTCTCTTCGAACAAGACACAACTTACCTTTACGATCTTTCTTCGTCTCAATCACCTCTTCATAGTCGCCATCGGTCAGTAACTCCGTCCTCCGGGTCACTTCACCGCTTCGTCGCGCCAATGGCATGTATTCACGGATATCTTCGTCACTGTCTCGGGGACGCACCACGAGGAGTGGGCCTGCATGAGAGCTGCTGGACTCAGCATAGGGCTCGACCATGCGCACAGGCGACGACCGACCACGGCGGCGGCCATGAACCGAAATAGACCGCGTACGGGAGACAGCTCTCGTCACTTTCCGCTCCGAGATATCGTATTGACGCGTTCGCGATCGGTGCCGTGAAGGCGACGGCTCAACAATCAGGGTATTGTAGCTTGTCCGGGGCGAATAGGCCTCCATGGCGACTCGTTCCACTGTCCTATCTTTTGTCTTATCCCGTACGGGAGACGGCGAGGTGTGGATGATCCGAGCTGGGAGACTGTTAGTTCATATACTTTCTAAGTCTTGGGCACGTGGTCACTTGCTTTCGGTCCGGCGCTTGATCGTGCGACTTCGACTGATCACTTCATCGATTTGGTCCTTGGAAAGCGCAAGTTGGATAATGACCATGTCACCCTATCTCGAGTCAGTCAACGTCGAAGTGGATGCAATCCACATCTGCTCCACCTTAGGACACGTACCTCTTCCTCATAAGGGTACCCAAGCTCACGAATTGCATGAGTATGAATTAACTTTCGGGGTACCCTGGTCTTGCCTTTACGGGGATACGGTTTGTCGATTTCAACCTTCTCTTCGACTACCCGCTCGCGGAAATGACTGCCCGAGCGACGCGGGTGCGCGGAAGCGCGAGTTCGTTCCCGGAAACCGCGATATTCCTCGTCGCCGTAATAATCTGGTTCTGCGATGCGGATCTCCTCGTAGTAGTCTGGCTCGCGGGAGTGTCGAAAGGACCGTCTCCGCGCCGGTGGGGGACTGGCGGCTACCCTGGGAGCGGCCGGACGATAATAGTACTCATCGAGCTTGCGCGAGGGGATTCGGTCGAACGTATCTAAGGAAGATTGCCGTCGTAGGAGACGGGGACGGGGAGGAGGGCTGTCCGCGCGTGAATGGTCATAGGCCACCAGCGGTCCTGACGGGTGGATGAGATGGTCGTCCTCATACTGCCTGCCGGGGCGGCGTGCAGGAGGGCCGTACCGGTCATGCTCCTGTAGGCGATATTCAAATCGTTCATCCTCTACCCGGCGGGGTCGATCGAGAACTGGCGGGCCACGGGAATGATGGCGTTCCCGTCGCTCACGAGCAAAACGATCCGGATCCCAGCGGTCAGGCTCTGTTTCGAGCACTCCAGTGGAGCGGCGAAATTCGTCGTATCGAGACATGTGCTTAATAATTACGAGGTCCTATGATCAGGGATTTGTAGAAAAAGCGGTGTTAAGAATGATCTGGTGGATGCGAACCGTGGGTGACGACAGCGGCTGACACTGCGGGCCGCCGGGCTGATGGCGGGGAGGAAGGGGGGGGGGGGGTTTGCAGTAGAACCGTGGATAACGATTAGGAGAAGAGATGAGGACTTTAGATTGTTCCGCACAGTGGAGAAGATGATTGTGGACTGGAACAAGACAGACAACAGAGGGTTGACGAGACGGGTATAAATGGTAATTGAGGATGGATAGAGGAGAGAGAGAGCATCATCGAACAAACACAACCAAAAAAGTAAAAAAAAAAGTTGATAGATGTCAGAAAAAAAAAATAAAAATAACAATAAAAACGCCGCTGCCTGAGTTTCGAAACGGGCCACTGACGATGACGTCCGAAGGCGCCCAGTCGCAGGCAGTGGATGGTAGTGTATGGGGTATGGGAGTGTAACTTCCATTACCGTATTATTCCCTCCGCCATATGTTGCTGGAAGCGATTACTAGCGATTCAAGGGTATGCGCCCGGTCACAGTTATTCTTAGCTATTCGCCACGAGCCCTTCGCCTTCTCTTCTCATCCAGACGCTGACTGTCTCCTCCTACCCAACCGTTGATGCCGAATGGCAGGATAGTCGTCGATCTCTGACACTAGCCAAGCGCAGGACAGGGGGCCAGAATCAGATACTACTGACCAGACCGACTACTCCCCGGAACTAATCTAGGGTCCGTACCTACTACAGATAGTCTGTGGCTACCCAATCCAGTGCAAGTTCTAGCCTGTCGGTCTCAGCTCTACACCTGCCTGCATCTTTTGGGCATTATATTATCCGCCTATGCGCCGTAGGCGAAGAAGCCTTAGTCTACGCAGTCCGTACATCTCGACTGGGCATCGCTGTCTGCTAGAATAGTGATACTGCTGATGCATATCAGCATGTGGATTCAACTAAGTGGTCCCAAATAGCCATGTCTAGAACGCAAGGTTCTCCACACGGTTGATACAAATCCAACTGCAACGGAAAGGCTCCGGTTCCAAGACATCCTCCACTATCCTGCAAGGGCATTGCCGATCTGCAGACTTAGGTGTCCCTGCGGGTAGGTCTATATATATGGTACCATTTCTACAGCTGACAGCTGTCCGCTCTTCCAGACTGGGAAAGCAGCAGACGGGAAGCAGAGTTACGAGTGCAAAGCCGCGAATCATGTCCACTTGTAATCGCACACTAGTCCTGGAACTTCGGCAGAATAATGACAGCCACAGTGGAGCCTCAAAGAGCCGTTTAGGGATACCTGCTTCGCTCTCAGTAAAATGTGTCTTATGAGTCTCGGCAGGGAAACCTAAACCGTGAGATTTCCCTCGTTTCCGGATGCTTCTCCCCGAAAGTCGCACTTGAACAACGTAAACGTTTCACCTCATCCATACCGCTTTGGTCATCGTGATTTGGATAGGGACGACATCAGACTTTTCGCTAGTTGACAATATGCAGGAGACTGCGCTATGCTCGCTCGTTTATCCCCAAGTTTCCCATGTCGTCTTCCAAGCTCAAGATTCCCATGGCATAGCGCACATATGGGGGTTTTACTTTTACAAAGCGTCTTTCGAAGTTTTCATTAGCTTGACTTTCTGTAGCCGACATCCAAGCGGGCGACTGGTGCGCAACGGCCTCGGCTTGTGGGTGATATGGAGGACCACGTCCTTGCTTTGCAGCAACTCTCCATGCGCTCTCACATCCATGGACTATGGCATCTGATGCTTTCCAGCCCGTCAAGCGGGAGACGGTGCGCAATTTAGTGACTGTCCATTCACGCTGAGCAGGGTCTGTGAATTGAACGGCAGCGAAGAAGATAGGCACGGTGATTTCGATCAGACAAGAGCCCAGGGTGGGGCTCAAACTTCCTGCTTCTAGATTAAACAGTTGTGGGTAGTAAATGCCTGCCGCGATCTTCCCAATGATTTGAGAGAATTCCGCCGTGGTAGGTGCAGCTACGCCCGCAGCAACCATCATTGCAGGTGGCATGCACGGATGCATTCTGTGTAAAAGGATGCGACCTATGTAGTAATAGCCCCATATTACTGCAATCGTATGCGTGCGGTACTGAAGGGCGGGTCCAAACACAGTCGAGATAGGAGGTGCGCTATCAGAAGGTAAAGGCCTGAAATAGGGCCCAAGAGCATGAGCAAATGTCTCAAAGGCCGCCAAAATGCTCTCCCATTCCTGTTCAGCTTCACTATACGATAAAGTTTCAGAGTCGTCATCACCCTGTCCAACAGAGCCAGCCCGAGCCGTTGCTTCAGCAAACGCTAAAGGTAGTCGCTTGGGTCCACTCGCTGGGACCATACCGTACATGGGAGGAGCTCCTGGTTGTGGCCCAGGACTATTGTTGTGTGACTGGCGTGACTCTGGTGATTTTCCCGATACCGACTTTTCCGACCCACCTCCAGACCACGGACTAGACCCGGCGCTGTTAGCACCGTGCGCCTGTGCTCCAGCGGGGGCACCGGAAAAGGCAGGAGATGTGCTGGACGACGAGGTTGAAGCAGGTCTGCCCTGAGCATCCGGGGGGCCCTTGGCGAAACGGGCCATGAATTTGGAGAGTTCAGGGCTCGGCCTCCAATTTGATCCCGTCGCTGCCATGGTAGCTAGTTTTCTTTTCCTATCTCGAATTCCATAAGCGGCTACTCGGGCGAGTAGGAGCCACAGATGGTCTGCTGAGCCGTAGATAGCGTCCAATCTGCCTAACCCTGCTCGTGGAGGGCACTGGCCCCATTGGGAGCTGGGCATGCTATTTTGCCGTGAGCTCGTGAAGTCTCAATTAGTGGTATGGGGTTCTACTAACAACATATTATTACCGGTGAGCATGCTCTGAAAGATATCCTGCTTAAAATACCACCAATAAAGGTCGCATTGGACCCGGAAATTTTCGATATCTTTTCGAGTAAAGTATCTTTTAGAAGACCGCCCGTCGTGGCCATCGTCGACTTCGCCAAAATTATCATAGTTAACCGCTCGACCGACGATAGTACCTATGATATTCTCGTCGATGCTATTCTCCTTTTCAGCAAAAGGATCATCTTCTGAAAATGTGTTACTAAGGGAATGACTCCCAGCAAGCGGGAAGCGGAAGCCGCCCACTTCATATCGTTGAGCACATATTCTGCGTCGGTGGGCACGAAGGTCCCGCGTTATGCCAGCATAATCGATCTCGCGCACCAGCTGAGCTGCTCCTGCAATGTGGTTGTTCCATTTCGAAGGGTCGGCGGCCATTACTTCATAATAACCTAGTATCTGAGCTGCAGCTAAAGTGCCAACTTGTTTACGTCTCGTGGGGAGGCCTACTGCCGCCCCAACCCTCTTGAGAGCGTAGTGATAGTGTTTCATAGAGACTGTGGCAGGCACTTGTTGCAAGAACGAGATGTGTAAGCTACTAAGAGCAAGAATAGCTTGAAGCAATGCCGGATGTTCTAACGCCTTGAAAGGCAACGTGTACGTCCACAATCCTTGCTGTGCCGCTGGGACCGGGGCACCGAACATAGTTGAAGGGTCGATGGGATGGCGCTCAAAGATTGATAGAGAAGGGCCTGTGGAATGGATGAAATGAAGAAATATTCGAGCGGTTTTGGGATTGTTCAACGGGGATGAACCGAGGGTGGGCTGATATGAAGCTAGGATGTTAGGCTCGTTCAGATATGTTGTAAATGAGCGGAGTTGCCGTTCATCTCTATTGGCAGAGGTCATTATGAGACTTAATTGATTGAAATTCTGCGTTGATGTCTGCTCTTCTGGTTCTTCATCAGTCTCGACATCGTAGTAGTCATCCTCATCCTCATCCATATATGTCACCTTGGATGGAGATATTGATGGATGTGCTGTTGTAAATTGGTCCAATTGCTGTTCTTCGTGAGGAGCAGTCGAATACGACGCCCAGGGTGACTTTGATACCTCCTAGAGTGTTAGCACTAGCCAATACAGTCATAGAGCCCATATTTCGGACTTTTACCTGTGGTATATTAGAAGGGGGTTGGGAATGCATCGTATTGTTCGATTGAGTTTGAGGTACGGCAGACGAGCGTGAGAGATGTTTACTCTCTTGGATATCTGGATAATAGCCTTGAATAGAAAGGTCACGCGCGCCATGGTGTATGTAGTTTTCCCTTATCTCTGATTCCGTTTTCCACGACTGTGGTGGAACCCAGGAAGGAAGCCCATGATCCATGTAGTGTTTATACCCTTCGTCCAGCCCATAAGCAGTGGGGATAGCATCAGGTTGCTGACTTTCCTGTGACGGCGAAACCACGGCGGTTCGCATAGGTTCATGCCCCGTGGTTGGAAGTGCAACCGGCTTAGGGGCGAGGGCCGGTGGGCGAGAACCACTTGGCTTTTCATGCAACGATATAGGAGCATTGTATCCACTAGAAAATGGTACTGTTGCTGCATTGAACGTCTGTTGAAGGTTCGAAAACCCGGGAATACCCAAAGGGTTCTTGAAGACTAGGCGCTGGGCATATCCTTTGCACTCTCGTTTCGATTTGATGCAGTTCTTGCATACAGGTTTCTCTTCCCCGCATTTGATGCGGCGTTGCCGGCAAGCTTTAACAATCAGTCAAAAAAAATTATCATCTAACGGGTCCCAATTAGGAGTCAATCGTACTCAAACATCCTGTTTTGGTGCGTCTCTTGGGGACTTTCTGAGCCAGCGTGTCATCCGGCGCTGTCTGCTCTGTGTCTTGTTGTATGACACCTGAATATTCAGGACCCGGCTCTGTAGCTGTGGTACTGGCTGAAGCTTCCTGCTTGATAGAGTTCGCGTTCTCCATGGTCGTTGACAAGACTCGAATGGAGGTTTACTTCCATACTCAAAAAGGGGTTGGGTCTTCAGACAATCAAGGCCAACAGCAATGATATAGTAAAAACCGAGATAGCTTCCTGCAGGGGTAGTGGAGCGACGAAGAAGTCAGCGTTGAAGTAACTCATGGAACTGAGTAAAACACTAGACTAGTCCCAGGAGGAAGAGGGCCTGAGGCAAATTTGATTGGCCTGAGGTGCCGCATAAAGTTTCCCGATCGACTCTCAGATGCTGGGGGCTTGCGAAGGTGACAGACTAGTGCTTGTTCTTCTCTTCATTTACGTCCATCCTCTCCTATTTTGTGATTTTTCTTGTTTGGTGTAGGTTTATCTATAATCCTCGGCGCTATATTAGTATCACAGGAATATTACATGTGCCGGTCCGTCTTTATGAAGATTTCAGTGCCGATGCGGCCAAGACAAAGAAATTGCCAGATAAAGACTGGCGGTCTCAAACTAGCAAATGCTGTACTCAAGGCAGTCCATCTTAGACGTTACTAAGGTTTGGAACTATAAATAAAGATGTCCGTGGGAGAGAATACGATCTACACCGGTAAGATCCACCACCTTAGTATAACTTACTCCGAACCCGTCGGCAGGGGTGACGCCCTCATCAGAACCCGTCCCGGCCTAGTATCATATGACCTTATTTTATAGGGACACTGTGTGGAATTGCTAGGGGGTAGATTGAGAAAAAAGAAAAGAAAGAGAAAAAGAAAAACGAAAAAAAGAAAAGGAAAGAAAGAAAAGAGACTTCGTATTTTAATCTGTACGAGGCCAGGTAAGCCACCAAATCATTGCCATCCAAAAGAAAAATGCAGGAAAATGCAGGAAAAAACAAAGGTGAAGAAAAGACCTTGTTCTGGACCTTGTCCCAAACCTTTTAAGCTCGTCCATGACCATGACCGTGCATCATCGTCGCAGTTATTGACCGCCTTGCCGTGGGTCGGCAGAAAATAAGAAACTAACAGCGAAATTTTGTTCGAGTCCCGCCTTTTACTGCCAGAAATTTTTGGAGCGGTTATTTCACATGATCGGCCATTTGTTTCAGTGGATTTTACAGTGGGATCATTGCAGGGTTAATACGCATCAATTGAAGTCATTCGAGTTAGCATACCGTGACCGATAGCTTGATAACCTCACTCCTCCACCGCAGTCATGTTCGCCGTCCCAGGTTGGTCGGTTTCGAGCTCTGCTCTGCAGGCGCAGACTGGGCCAAGATCACAATCTCAAGCCCAGTCCCAACAGGCCAACGGAACCCCCAAGCCGAAGGACAAGAATAACAAGCGCAAACGCGATGATCATGTTACTAAGGCAAATGTTGATGAGATGTACCGCCGGCATATTGAGGGTCAGACAGGCACTCCAAAACCTTCCAAGCCGGGACCGAATAACTCTATGAAGGCTGAGAAGAAACAGAAGAAGGAACGGAATGTGCAAGACAAGGCCGGCCAAAGCCCATCAGTGCCTCAAGGAAAAGATGAATCCAAGCTGGACAAGCAAACCAAGTCTGATGCCGGTGAAGCCAAGAACAAGAAGAAGAAGAACAAGAACAAGCAGCAACAGCAAGAAACCCAGAATCAGACTGAAGTGACTTCTAAAGAAACCCCAGCAGCAACAGCTGGGTCTATCACTCCCGCCCCGCCTAAGACTCAGGCGATCCTTACGCCTCTTCAGCAAGCCATGCGTCAGAAGTTGATCTCCTCTCGTTTCCGTCACTTGAACGAAACTCTTTATACAACGCCGTCTAGCAAGGCCCTTGAGCTGTTCACTGCCAGTCCGGAACTGTTCGATGAATACCACGCCGGCTTCTCTCGCCAGGTGAAAGAATCTTGGCCTTCGAATCCCGTTGATGGTTATATTCAATCCATCCGGTCCAGAGCAAAGGTGCCGGCTGCCCCCAGGAAAGGAGACAAATCTGGCAGCAAAAATCGTGACCCACTACCTCGGCGACCCAATGGAACATGCACCATCGCCGACCTTGGCTGTGGTGACGCTCAGCTTGCCCGTGCACTTATCCCTGCGGCGCAAAAGCTGAAATTGAACTTTCACAGCTATGACTTGCATGCCCCTGAAGGTTCCCCTATTACCAAAGCGGACATTTCGAACCTCCCAGTTAATGATGGCAGCGTTGATGTGGCCATTTTCTGTCTAAGTCTGATGGGCACCAACTGGGTATCATTCGTGGAAGAAGCATGGCGTGTACTGCGTAGTGATGGCAAGGGAGAATGCTGGGTGAGCGAGGTTAAGAGTCGTTTCGGCAAAGTGATGCGCAAGAAAGCACAGATTGGAGCTAGGAAGCCCCTCAGCAAGTCGGAGAAGAAAAAGCTCAAGAAACGCGGAGAAGACGATGCTGATTCTGACGCCGATGATGCAGAGGTCTACGCTGAAGATGCCCGTCCTGCCGATAACGACGAGACAGATATATCATCGTTCGTTGAAGTGTTTCGTACGAGAGGCTTCATCCTCAAACCTGAGTCGGTGGACAAGTCCAACAAGATGTTCGTGAAGATGGTGTTTGTCAAACAAGGCCCTGCACCGTCAAAGGGCAAGCATGCATCTGCGACCGGTACAAAAGCTGGACCAGGCAAGAAGAGGTTCATTGAAAAACCAGCCGATGCCGGTAACAATATGTCCCCCGAGGAAGAGGCTGCCGTTCTTAAGCCCTGTGTCTATAAGATTAGGTAGAGGGGAAAGAGTCTAGGTGTGCAGCGACTTGTATATAAAAATCATACCTTTGTTGTATTTGATATCAGCGAAGTCCTATCAGGTCGGAACAAGACTTGGTGGATAAATCATTAGACAGATCTTTTCTATTCGACTTCCAGAACAAATACCAGCCCATGTATGACATGTATTCTCAATATAACGCATAGGCTCATCACAATAATTGTGCATTATTTCGCTTATTGATTACCACCCAAGGTTGCAACAGCCCGTCCCATCTCCTCATCATTGTAAATACGGAAACCCTTCTCCTTGGTCACACTGGCAAGCTGAACGTTCTTTGCATCCAGCTTCTCCTCCATGACCTGCTTCAGTGTCTTGAGGACCAGTGTCTCCGCTTCTTCTAGAGTGAGGGAGCGGTGATATTCGTTCTGCAGTTCCGCTTGCGCACCCTCACTTCCGGATCCAATGGCCTTCGCATCATATCGGTAGAATGTACCGGATGGCTCGGCATGATATCTAGCCAAATTAGCACATATTTCTGAGAAGGCTGGTCTGACATCAATAGAAACATACAGTTGAGGGCCATCCTCATCGAAACCTGCGATTAACAAAGCAACACCGAAAGGCCTACTCATCACGCTTTCCTCATCATCCCCTGTCTCTCCGAATCTCAAGGCCAAATCGCAAATGGCCTGGGTGCAGCTCTCAACTCGCAGTGGTTCGGCATAGTGGAAGGCATGGTTTTGGCACTCAACGCGGGCATGCTCGACGAGGTTCCGGGCATCTGCCTGCAGGCCGGACATAGCACAGCCGATGTGCTGATCAATCTCAACAATCTTTTCGACGGAAGAGGCTTCAAGAAGAGTAGATGTGACACGTTTCTCAACGCCCAGGATGACGCCTTCGTTGGTTGCGACCTGATATGAAGTCAGAACGGTGCGTTGGACTCCGGTTGTGCAATGTACGACCACTGGATAGTTTATGTGGCAGGCCTAGAATTTTTGAACTGAATTATATGGAAGATGCGGGACACATACACCGATCGCTGTCGAACCTAGTTTGATAGCTTCAAGAGAGTATTCGACCTGGAATAAACGCCCTTCGGGGGAGAAGGTGCTGTAATAATTCCATCGTTAGAACACAGAAAGTCATTTTCGTCTAGGTGAGTAGCATAGGATAATCTCATACTTAATTCCACGGTCTGGAGACAAAGCTGTTAGCTAGCCCGCATTGGAGGGGAGATGTCTGACGGAGCTTACCATATTCCGATCGCGCGATGAACATGTTGGACGATTTCGGCAGTACAATGAAGAATGTAGTTGATATAGACGCACTAACGAAGTATTCTTGGGTGCGAAGACAGGAAAGTAGCCTTGTAAGGGAAGGGAGGAAGGTGGTGTTGGGAGCTGTTCTTGGAAGCTCGGGTGAAGCTCCAGGTCTACGCAAGTCCGCTGAGTGCCTGGCGGAGAGTCCGTGCTCGCCTCAGGCCAGCATCAGGCATCATTGCACTAGTCTCCATTTGCTTACTGTAAACTGCGGAACGTGACAGAGCAACAATATACTTCTGCATACGATTCCTTGTGTCTTTTTTCCCTATTTTATTGTTATCCCTTGCATTCCCTTTCGGTATACGCATGGTTGACCCTACTCTGTTTATCTCGCGGGACAATGTCCGTCAATGACCGTCGCGCCAGCTATATGAGCGCACCACGACCCCGCGTTTCCTCGAATCGCGTCGGCGATGCTCGCAGCGGTGCGTCCCCTTTGCAATCGGAACAAATAAACCACCGCAGAAGCACGTCAATTCAGAAGGGTAAAGTCTCTCGAGAGCAACGTGATATGATGAGCGACAAGCGTGCCGAACGAATGGCACCTCATTCGAAAGACAAAGCTCAAGTTCGAGCGAGAAACCCGGCCAAGGAGTCTTCTAGCGCAGGAAACAGAGAGGAATGGGAAAGGTCACGCTCAAGGAGGGCTACTCTGACGGACGGTGCTAGTCCCAATATGCGAAAGAAGGATAAGGAACCAGCAGAGTGTTAGTGACACCAATTCATCATAGGCGCTTGTTTACTTAGGATGCTGACAATGATACCACCCCAGCGACATGGAACCCGCATGCCTCGTTGATACCCCATTCGACAGCACCGTTAGCTACTCGAGTATCGGTTCCTTCTCTTGCTTCAGCTTTGCCCAAATCGCTTCATCCAACCCCACTTCGCGAGCTTTCCGCCGACGCACAAGAGACAGCCCTCTTGGAAGATTTACTATTCGTGTTTATGGGCTTTGAAGGCCAGTACATTCACTACCATAGTGGATATGATCCGTCCATAGAGAAGGACCGTTTGACTGGTCCGGTATTTCAACTGCCATCAGGTGTGGACCCAACCTTAAGGGACCTTACTCTGTCCATGTTAAAGATGGCAACTCACTATAATGCTTTGGAGGCATTTGTGGAGGTTCAGAGCCGTGCAGAATATGGAGCAGTCAGTCATGCCCTATGCGCGGCAATCCGAAAGCTCCTAAAGGACTACCTGATCCTTGTTGCTCAGCTTGAAACCCAACTTGTGAACAACCCAAGCTTCACGCTACATCTTCTACATTTGCACACCTTGCCGACAAGTCAATGCTTAACCCAGTTATATTCGCTGGGCCAGGAACTACTTCGGCGCAATGGCTTACTGGACCAGGACCTCGACGAATCCATCGACGACTTTGATGACGTGGATAATATTCTCGAACAGCTCAAAGAGGGTGGCGACCTTGTTCCTGGCGCCATGTCCAGCAAGAAGATTTGTAAGGGAGGCAACGTTCTTCGACTGCTGACTGAGCGGTTAGCAACATTTTCTGGCGATCCGACTACGAAGACTCTCCTGGAAAAGTTACTTCGTGAATCTAGTCGACCATATATGACTATGCTCAATGAATGGCTTCATCATGGGGGTATCAAAGATCCTCATGCGGAATTCCTCGTGAAAGAGCAGAAATGGATCAAACGGGAGAAACTCGAGGAAGACTACACAGATGAATACTGGGAGAAACGGTACACTATTCGCGAGAATGAGGTTCCCCCACAGCTGGACAGCGTACGAGACAAAGTTCTATTAGCTGGTAAGTATCTGAATGTGGTACGAGAATGTGGTGGTGTCGATATCAGCAAAGCAGTTAAGGATGTGCCGAAGACTTTGGACGATCCACGTTTCCTGGAGAACGTCAATGCCGCCTACACCTATGCTAATGCCTCTTTATTGAACCTTCTTTTGACGAAGAACTCTCTCACTACTCGCTTCCGCTCCCTTAAACATTACTTCTTCTTGGACCGTTCCGACTTTTTCTCTTATTTCCTCGAGCTTGGCGCCTCGGAGTTGCGCAAACCAGCCAGAGGTGTCAACGAAAATAAACTACAGTCGTTACTTGATCTTGTTCTACGACAGCCGGGTAGCATAGCTGCACAAGATCCTTTCAAGGAAGATGTGAAAGTTCGAATGAACAAAATTGGTCTCACGAAATGGCTGATGCAGGTCGTAAGCGTCTCTGGAATTGACCAGGACAACCCTGAGGCAGCGATTGAGAAATACCAGGCTCCTCAAACCCAAGGTGGGGATGATGAAAAGGATATTGCTGGATTCGATGCACTCGAGCTGGATTACTCCGTCCCCTTCCCTCTGTCTCTAGTCATTAGTCGCAAGACTGTTTTGCGATATCAACTCATTTTCCGCCACCTCCTATCACTCCGTCATCTGGAGCACCTTCTAGTTACGGCCTGGCTAGACCAGAACAAGGTTCTTGGCTGGCGCCACAAGTCCACAGACCGGAGGCTAGAGATGTGGAAGCGACGGGCATGGAACTTGCGCGCGAAGATGCTCGTCTTCGTCCAACAGCTTCTTTATTTCTGTACGGCCGAAGTCATCGAGCCAAACTGGCAAAATCTCATGGATCGTGTGAACGGGACGGATGCCGACGGGTCCGAAGTGACTGTGAATGGCACCAAGCAAGTCAACCGAACTGTTGATGAATTAATGCAAGACCATGTGGATTTCTTGGACACATGTCTCAAGGAATGCATGCTCACGCAAGCTAAATTACTAAAGGTTTGTCATGGCGTTTCAATGTTCTTTGGGCGCCGCACAGCAATACTAATGGCGTTTCAGATTCATTCCAAGCTGATGACTTGCTGCACCATGTTTGCATCTTGGACTGCCTCGTCGCTTGCACGGGCTTTGGCGACGGCTGACCCAGAGCTTGCGAGGAACAAGGCCTCGAATCCGGATGGGAGGGGTTATGATCCAACTCGGATCAGCAAGCTTGAGGATACACTAAAACGCTATGAAGATCATTTCAACCGGCATTTACGCATCTTGATGGACAGGTAAGTCGTCCAGAAACTCCGTGGCTGTTTCCCATGCTGATTTGTCCATTGTGTAGTCTGAATTACTTCGCTGCCACGGAAAGTGTTGTCCTCCTGAAACTTGCGCATGCCCTAAGCTCGATTAGCAAAGATGACTGAGACCGTTTCACACTCGCTTGGCTATTGAAGCCGATCTAATGATACAACTGGATTCCTGGGAAATGGTCAGGCACCATACCAGTGAATTGATACATCTGTTCCGTTGGCGCAAAGGTTATGATAGTCTCGACCGGTCTATTCTATAAGCCTCGTTATCAATAGCCCAGCTTTGATTAACTAGTTCTAAGCCCACGGAAGGTATCCCTGAAAGGTACAACGGGCCTGCTCGACACAAAACCGCTATCTGATTAGGTCGAAAATCGACCCGGTATTTCAAGGAAGGGGCGCATTGGCATCTTTGGGACTAAATTGGTACTTTTTGTCTTTTTCTAGCATGGAAGGAGAATCGGAGGCGATACCTTGTTATGGATTCCTAAATACCCCGGTGAGGATACTTGATTTTATGATTATATGCTGTTGGACATAATTAAATGGATGTAGATTCTACAAGAATCATTTGAGGCAGTAAAGAGAACCGGAGTTCGGAGTGATCGGTGTTCGATGTTCGATATTCTCGACCATGTCTTATCAGTTACAGCTGAACAAGAAAGCTGAACGAGACATGCGGATACCCATCCCCATTTAATATCGGTCATGTTACATCGTATACTCTATTCCGAATCCCGATCGCTACAGGTATAAAATGCTTTGCCCCTTATACGGTGAGGGTTTTGGTAAATTCCTCCGCTGCCACCAACCTATTGCATCTTGTCGGGTTGTTGTGTTTTTCATCCATGATGGCTTCCGAAGATTACACTCGCACTCCAACGTTAATGTTAGAAGGACAAGATACTTCCTGTGAAGAAGAGAACGTGGAGTATCCCACCGGCTTTCAATTCCTTGTCGTGCTTCTTGCCATGGGCATGTCCTTGACCCTCACTGGCTTGGTCCGTTTTCTTGTCCCTGAAGGCTGCACAGATTAATAGGAACCACTTCATGCTAAGAAGGACGTAGGATTTCAACATGATCGCAACAGCGTTGCCAACGGTTACCACGCAATTCGGGACCATTGAAGATGTTGGTTGGTATTACTCGGCATAGTTAGTATCTCGCATTTTCACTGAATCAGTTTTGATTCCCTAACGGGCCACAGTCGCTTGACCTCCTGCTCGTTTCAATTCATGTTTGGAAAGCTGTACCATCTGTTCTCAGTCAAATACGTGTTCCTCGTCTCGGTCGTCATCTTTGAGATCGGGTCGTTGATCGCCGGTGTATCACCTACTTCCGCTGCGCTGGTTCTGGGACGTGCGATCTCTGGGATGGGCTGCGCGGGTATCATAACTGGAGTCTTCACGTTCGTCTGCATTACTTTATACTGGTAAACTATCCGTTCAAGCTAACATGCGGAACTGTAGCATGGTAGTGCAGAGCTTTCCGCTTCGTCAACGTCCCTTTTTTACTGGTATCGCCGCTGGGGTTGAGGGTGCGTCGGCGACTGTAGCTCCACTACTCGGGGGCGCGTTGACCGATTCCATCTCATGGAGATGGTGTTTCTATCTCAACTTGCCCATTGGGGGCTTGTCATTCCTATTGATCTTGCTTTTCTTCCAAGACCCTCAGAAGAATGCCCGTGTAAGTCTGTCATGGAGAGAGAAGCTCCACCAACTTGATCTCCTCGGAACGAGCATCTTTGTGCCGTCCATCACGTCCATGTTGCTAGCCCTACAATGGGGTGGCTCCAAGTATGGATGGGATAACGCACGGATCATTGTTCTCTTCATATTAACGGCTGCCCTTTTGGGTACATTCATGTGGCAGGAAAGGAGAAGAGGTGATAACG